CCCACCAGAGCCAAGCCTCAGTTTCGTGCCCGCCTCTGTACCAATCACTAAGCCAGGGGCAATGATATTCTTACGGGCCAGATTCCAGTCACAGACCCACCTCTGAACCAATCACTGGCCCTGGCAGCTGTGACACTCTCATTAGCAGGCTTGGGTCACATGCTCACCCCTGAACCAATCATCACTGGCCCTGGCAGCTGTGCTACTCTCACTGGCAGGCTTGGGTCACATGCTCACCCCTGAACCAATCATCACTGGCCCTGGCAGCTGTGACACTCTCATTAGCAGGCTTGGGTCACATGCTCACCCCTGAACCAATCATCACTGGCCCTGGCAGCTGTGCTACTCTCACTGGCAGGCTTGGGTCACATGCTCACCCCTGAACCAATCATCACTGGCCCTGGCAGCTGTGACACTCTCATTAGCAGGCTTGGGTCACATGCTCACCCCTGAACCAATCATCACTGACTGGCCCTGGCAGCTGTGCTACTCTCATTGGCAGGCTTGGGTCATGTGGAGAGAGGAGGCTCTCAAAATGGAAGTCAGGATGCTGTGGTTAGAGGAAGTGGCTATTTGGTGCTAGATGGACAAAAATAACCAGTAATATCAAGGCTTCTCTCTGCCTATCTCCCAAGTTTGTCCCTTGGGTCTGAGAAGCCTGAGAACCTTGCTGACCCCGAAGAGCAGCCTTGGAAACCTACCAAAAATGGAAGGCCTGGGAAATACCAAGGGTCCAGGCAACCAAAAGGCCCACACTGGATGGGTCAGCAGGACCAGGGCAGATCAGACAGGTGCTAGAGGCAGGCGGGCACTCTGCATAGTTACCACCAGAGAGCACCTGACCCAGAGGCAGGGTAAACAGGAGAGGTCAAGTAGCCACGAGGGACCTCTGTCCCTTGCCTGAAGCATGGCAGATAATAACACTGACTGCTCACCCTTATTGTGTCTGGCCCTGTCCTAAGCATTTTTATGCATCAACTCAATGAATTATCACCAATGAGATTGGTACATTTATAACCCTCATTTTACAGATGAGGAAACCAAGGCTTTGAAGTAATGAGGCCAAGATCATACAGCACAAAGTGGGCAAGTCATGTATCTATTTCAGCATTTCAGCAAACACTGAGCATCCTGAGGTTAGGGGCTGTGTCTTGTTCTTATATGAAGTCCTCATGGACCCTAATAATCACTATGTGCTTAATGGATATCCGGTGAAGTAAAAGATCAGGAGGCTGTAACTGTGTTCTCCATGCTCCCCACCCTCCCCATCCCAGGAAGAAATCACCAGGCTCAGCTTAGGCAATACCCCTTCCAGGTGTGCTGACCTTGGAAGATGATTCTTAGACTTTGCCTTTGCTCTGTTGTAATGGACCCTCAGGCACTACAGTACACACATCAGTAGAAGAGAGAGTTTGAGATTTTGCAGAGGCTTGACAACTCCAAAGTTTCATTGTGTGGGTCATCTGTTTTTGTTTGAGGCAGAGTCTTGCTTTGTTGCCCAGGCTGGAGTGCAGTGGCATGATCTCAGCTTGCTGCAACCTCCGCCCACAGGGTTCAAGTAATTCTCGTGCCTCAGCCTCCCAAGAAGCTGGAATTACAGGTGTGCACCACCACGCCTGGCTAATTTTTGTATTTTTAATACAAACAGGGTTTCCCCATGTTGTCCAGGCTGGTTTTCAACTCCTGCCCTCCAGCAATCCACCCACCTAGGCCTCCCAAAATGCTGGGATTACAAGTGTGAGCCACAGTGCATGGCCTGTAGGTCACTATTTATGCCTCTCCCAGGAGTAGCTGGCTGTGCAGTTGAGGGGAAGAGGAAGAACACATTTAATGTGAATTCATTTATCAAACTCCACTGGGCTCCCACGGTGGGCCAAATACCATGCTGAGTGCTTTGAGGGGGTCGGAGGGAGGCATGACAAAACTTCCTCCTCCAAACCCCTCCTGGGAAGAGAAATAAGTCACTGCCAGAGGAAGAACACAGAAGGAAGTCCTGCCTTCCACAAGAGAGGACTTCTAATCATTTGGGCAACAAAAATGTATTAGCTACCTGCCACGGGCCAGTGAACAAAACAGAACAGACTCAGCTCTTGCCCTCAGGAAGTTCTCAGTCTAATGGGAAGGTAGACAATAGACAAATAAATATGGAATTGTAAGTGTGATGTGTTTTACCAAAAACAGGAAAAGCACAGGGTGCTATAAAATAAACTAAAAGGGGGCCAGGCGTGGTGGCTCACACCTGTAATCACAGCATTCTGGGAGGCTGAGGTAGGCGGATCACTTGAGGTCAGGAGTTCGAGACCAGCCTGGCCAACATGGGGGAAACCCCATGTCTACTAAAAATACAAAAAATTAGCCGGGCTGGTGGCAGGCGCCTATACTCCCAGGTACTGGGGAGGCCGAGGCAGGAGAATCGCTTGAACCCAGAAGAGGGAGATTGCAGTGAGCTGAGACCTCGCTACTGCACTCCAGCATGGGAGACAAGAGCAAAACTCCATCTCAAAAAGTAAAAAAAGAATAAATTAAGAGAGAAAGTAAAAGGGGACGTGTTGGAACAGGTTAGGGTTGCCTTTCTGAGGTGGTGAGAGATGAAAAGAGGCCAGCCATATGAAGCGTGTGGGAACAGCATTCCAAAATGAGGGAATAGCTCATGTGAAAGCCCTGCATGGCAGGAGGGCAGGGCATGTTCAAAGGACTAAGATTAGGCAAGTCATGTCTGGAGGTTAGCGAGTAGAAGTAGGTAGTGGCAGAAGTCGGGGTCAGAGAGAGGAGCACGAGGCTGCTCTCAAACTCCTGGTCCTCGTCCTCCTACCTCGGCCTCCCAAAGTGCTGGGATTACAGGCATGAGCCACTGCCCCTGGCCCCAAAATCCATGTATTTCAAAGTCACTCTGGCTGCGGCGGGGAAAGTGGATTTGTAGTGGAGCAGAGTGGAAGCTGGGAACATGGCAGCTCTTGCTGAGTCAATAGCTAGGGTGCACAGATGAGGGCCTGTTCCTTCCTCATAGGGGCCTCTGGGGAGGCTTTCAGAAGCACGTTTTACCCCAGGTGAAAGAGGTACAGGCAGGCAGGAAGGAGAAGGCTGCATTCACCACTCCTAGCATTTTTCTCCTAAATAAAGAGGAAAAAAGTTTTTCCTTTTTCTGCCTCAGAAACTAGAAAGAGATGCCCATTCATCAGTACCTTCCGAAATGCCTGTGTGTAGTTAAACAAGAAGAAGAACAGACCATCAGCAGTATAGAGCACAGACAATTCAGTGATGTTGTAAAGTCTGGCATAAACAGATCTGGCTAAGCCTCACAACTTTTCTGCTGGGGCTGACAATGTCAGCAACTCCAAGTCTGATCCCCTACTGGCTCTGGAACGCAAGATCCCCGTAGAGAAAGGAGGAGAAAAGGCCCCCCACCACCACTTGCATTTCCCCCAGCAAATGGGCAGGTTTGCCTCTCTAAGGAGCAGGCCAAGCATCAGCCAAGCCAACCAGAATTGGATTCGTAGGAAAGAACCTCTCTGCCGGCTCTTTATCAGTGACCAGTCTCATGGGGGACAAGTGCTAACGTTCTGTGAAGTGTGTTGTGTTTGTTAGCAGCAGGGTGCCTCGGGGCTCCTGTCAGCACCCTGGAATAGGGCTCCAAGTGACAGGTAGCAGTGCTCAGCATTCACTTCCTCCTCTCATTGTGCCCTCACAACCTGCTCAGGCTCAAGACAGGTAGAGAAACTGAGTTTAGAAATAGGTGTTTTGTTTTTGTTTTTTAATGCTTGATTACTCTGAGTACAGCTTCCATTCTACAATCTTCTGGTCACAGTACCCCAATTTTTCTTAGGGATCCCAACTTAGCCCATGTGGTTTAGGTAGCACCCGTCTTCCACCCGAGCTTCTGAGGAAGGAGAGCCATGGTCTGTCTAGATGTCACTTGTCCCTGAATTCTGCCACCACCCTGACTACCCTCCACCCACATTCCACCCGTTCGTGGTCACAGGCTTTAGGTGGGCACATGATCTAAACTAGTCCAATCACATAACCCTGACTTTGGCTGGGCCACTGGGGAAGGCACATTCCCTTTTTTTCTGGACTGGGATCTATGAAGATGTCATCTTGGAGCTTCTAGAGGCCAATGAAGCCTGTCTAAGAATGGGACCAGTGCAGAAGGAAGTAGAACAGAGAAAAAGCCTGAATCTTGGGACATCATTTGAGCACCTGGATACAGCCATACCTGAAGCATAACCTCATTAGGGGTGGGTTTCTGACTGTCACATGGAGGCCAGGCAATGGCAAGGATGAGAACCAGGCACTGTGAGCCAGTTCAGTGCTCTTCCAGATGATTTTACCCAGCCACACAACAAACTCAACTAATCTGTGTGTGGTTTTATGGCCTGCTAAAAGATGGGTATTTCAAAAATAAAAACATCTGATCATTACAATGTTTTGTCTAACTGAATCATAGAGCCGTGGAAGGGCCCCTGGAGGTCCTATCACTGAATGGTTTTCCAAGATTTTTAGCAACTTCTTGTTTCAAATGAAGTTTGAAGCAGAACACCTATGTGTGTGAAATAAATTGGTAGCTTGTTAGTGCAAATGTGTTTTATCTTTTAGGTTAGAAGTTCTTAACATTTGGCCGGTGGTGGCTCATGCCTGTAATCCCAGCACTTCAGGAGGCCAAGGCAGGGGGATTGCCTTAGGTCAGGAGTTCGAGACCAGCCTGGCCAACATGGCAAAATCCTGTCTCTACTAAAAATACAAAAATTAGCTGGGCATGGTGGCACATGCCTGTAACCCCAGCTACTCGAGAGGCTGAGGCAGGAGAATCACTTGAACCTAGGAGGCAGAGATTGCCGTGAGCTGAGATCATGCCACTGCACTCCAGAGCAAGACACCATCTCAAAAAAAAAAATGTTCTTAACATTTACTTTTTATAATCAATGAAGACCCAGATTTCAATGTGTTATTTATTTCCAATGTATAGAATTTTATTATATAATATATTTTCATGTATGGGAGATTTTTAATAACTTTTAAAAAATTATTCATAATTGATACATAATTATACATATTTATGAGGTATAGAGTGACATTGATACATATATACAATGTAAATGATCTTATCAGAGTAATTACTGTATCCATCACCTCACACATTATTTCTTTGTGTTGGAAACATTCAAAATCCTCTTTTCTAGCTATTTGAAATATATAATAAATTATTATTGTATAGTCACCCTACAGTGCTAAAGAACACTAAAATGTGCGGGATACCCAGCAGAGCCAGGTGAGGGCGGCAGCAGGCTGAGGGTGTGCCTCTGCACTGGAGAGCTGGGCCAGGCTGCAGGGGAACTCTAAGCCCTGGAAGGGCCAGGGAAGGGCAGATCAGACAAATAGACTTGTGCATGCAAGACTACCAAGGTGATGCTGGAGAGTGGGAGGTGCGATGAGACAGAGGTTCAGAGGGGAACACTGAGGCCTTGAATGCCAGGCTGTGGGGTGTGTACTTCCCCCTGTAAAATGGGATAAACCAGATGAAATGGTCTCCTTGGAGAAAGCTGGGGATTTTCCAGGAGCCCCAGGCTGGGGACAGGCCATCAGCAGCTCAAAAATGATCCTGCAGGCCCAGGCTCCCTGTCCATTGCGATTCCTTGGAGCACTGCCCTGCCAGCAGGGCCCAGTATCAAATTCCCGTCATAGAAAGTCACTGTGTGTTTGATAAACTCTTATCAGACTGTGGCTGTTGGCTTGTGCTGTGTCACCCAGATCTCTAATTTCATAGTCCCGGCTCTGCCAAAAACTGGCTGTGAAGCCTGGACGTGTCTCTCCCATATCTCCATCTAAACTGGGCTGCAGAAAGAGGACTCAGTCAGATGCACTGACTCATGCCTGTGATCCCAGCACTTTGGGAGGCTAAGGTGGGAGGATTGCTGGAGACCGGCCTGCACAACATAGCAGGACCTCATTTCTACAAAAAATTAAAAATTAGCCTGGTGTAGTGGCGCATGCCTGTGGTCCCAGCTACTCAGGAAGCTGACGCAAGAGGATCACTTGAGCCCAAGAGGTCAAGGCTGCAGTGAGCTATGATCGTACCATCGCACTCCAGCCTGGGCAACACAGTGAGATCCTGCTTCAAAAACAAACGAAAAGATAAAAAGACAGAGAAAGAGGACTCAACTGGCTCCTTTCAAGCTGTTGGTTCTAGGGAAGTGCTTCTGATTCTCTTTCAGCATCTGATAAAGACTTTGTTTTAAAAATATGTGTATACTTTAGGTTTTTTAAATTCGGTTATTTAATTTTAAACCTATTTATTGCCTAAGTAATTCATGTTCATTATAGACAAATTTGAAACTACAGATAGGTGTGAGGAAGATATTTCAAATGTTCATCATCTCAGCACTTATGTCATTCCAGATATTTTCCAGTGTTTTTTTTTTTAATTAGAGTTTGGTGGTGATTCTCTTCTCCCTGCTTCAGGGGATGTATTCATGATACCCCTTTATTGAGCCTGGCTACTCAAAGTGTGGCCTGGGGACGGCTGCATTGGCAGGGCCTGGGAGCTTGGTAGGGATGCAGAGTCTCGGGTACCACCTCAGGATTGTAAAATTGGAATTCACATTTTAAGCAAGATCCCTGGGTGATTCATATATGTGTATTAAAATTTGAGAAGTACTATTCTGGAACATTAGCTTATACTTCGACTTAATTTTCTTGAACAAGAGAAAGGGAACATTTCTGAAGTTAGAACAACTAGACATCAAAAGAAGACCTTTGACAAAGCCAGACAAGCTAATAAGTCCTTTTTCTTTCTTTCTTTCTTTTTTTAACTCACAATCACACAGAAAGATGAAAAAGATCTGAGGGACTTTTTTGTTTACTTTATTTATTCATTTATTTTAGAGATGGGGTCTTGCTATGTTACCTAGGCTGGAGTACAGTGGCTATTTGCAGGGGCGATCCTGCTCCTCCTCCTGCCTCCCTCCACTCCTCAGACACCTCTGCTGCTTCCTCATCCTTTATTCATCTGTTAGATATTTACTGAAGATCTTCAAGGCTCCGCTTCTCTGATCACTCTACTATCTCCTCCTGGGTGCTTTCATTCACTCCTAAGTTTCCAAAGACATCTCTATGCCCAAAATCTATTTTCAGATCTTACCTCCATGCCAAGCTCCAGACATATGCATTCACCTTCCTACTTGGCTTCTCCTCTTGGGTTTTTCATGGGCATCCCTAACTCCTACTAAGTTCTTCCTCCTAAATAACTCAAATTATCCCATTCACCACCCCCACATCCCCCATGCTAGGCCAAGCCACCCCCATCTCCCCTTTGAAGACCACATTGCTTCTAAGCTGGTCTCTCTGCCTGGTCTCCCAAACCCACTCCAATTCTTCCTCCATTCAGAAGCCAAAGTGCTCTTCTTAAATTGCCAATCTGGCCATGTGCCAGGAAGGCACTTGGAAGTGGAAGGCACTTCCACTGCCTTCACGGGCATCCCAAATAAAATCAAGCATCTCTGCCATGCCTTGAAAGGCTCTGCCAAGCCCAGCCTTTCTTCCAGACACAGTCCCCACTATCTCTCTTGCTCCAAACCTGGTCTTCTCCCTCTCTGCAGCCAACTTTCCCTTGCCCTTGTGCATTCTGACCTGTCTGGCAGTTTAGTGGGTGCAGCTGATGCCCCTTGGCTCACCTCTCCTGAAGGGGTATCCCACTGGAGGGGCAACACCAGCAGCTGGGAGTGTTGTCCATTCAGGGAAGGCAGCCACACACCCCCTCAGAGAATTGCCTTGGGACAAACTAGAGTCACCTCTGCAACAGGTGACAGTCAGGCAGATCTCACTGCCCAAGATGGGTGACAAAAGGCCGGTCACCTCCCCGAGAGGTGGAACTGTTCCTCGGACAGTTGAAATTCCCCATCCCCCCTTGCCCTGCCACCACTGTGGGATGGGGCGCAAGCCGAGACCACCTCCTTCTCTGCTTCTCCCTGCCGCCCCATCCTGCTTCTCTCCCTGCCTTGCAGGTCCTTTCCAATTGCCACCCCAAGAGATCCCCACCTCAGGTTCCACTTGCAGGGCACCCAACCAAGATGTATCCTCCAGGTCATGCCTGGCTGAGCCCCCAGAGCACTATCCAGTCAGCACTCTGCCATTTTCCTTCCTAACAGTTGGCATGGGCGTGCTTAATACTTGTCTGTGTTATCTGTCTAACATGCATTTCACTGTACACTCCATAAGGGCAGGGCCATGTCTATTTCACTCCCACCGTGTTCCTAGCACCCCCTAGCACGTAGTAGGTACACAAAACTACAAACTGAAAGAAGGAAGGAAGGAAGGTCCCGGTGTGGCCTCTTTCTTATTTGATGGAGGGCTCTGAGTCTAAATGGCTTTGGAGGTTGGCAGCCATGAGTGCCATGGCTTGGGCTCTCTGCCCTCCAGCAAGCAGCTCTGAGACCGTGTGGGCAGAGGCTGTGTGGCATGCCCGCCTGGATGGCGGCCGTCCACCACCTCTTCTCCTCACTCAGAGGCAGCAGCTGGAGCTGCTCCACCAGTGACCGTGAGCAACCCTGGAAGCTGCACTGTCAACAGCCTGTCACAGTGAATCCACCCAGGCCACTGCCTCCCCGCAGAGCTGCCTGCTGAACCAGCCTCAGCCTCTCGGGGCCTCTCCCAGCAGCGCTCACAGGCTGGCATCAGGAAGGCCCAGGCCTGCTTTTACTGCCAAAAGGGGCACCTGTTGCAGCTGCTGGGGGCCTGCGCTCAGTGAATGCCACCTCCCCCGCCACCGGGACAGAGGGCAGGAATCCCCGTGGAGTAACCAGTAGAACCAACTCTTTCCCTCCCGCCATCTGCCCCTTTACACTTGAGAAGGCCTGCGCTGTGCCAGGAGTGTCTCACTCCCTGCTTTTGCTAACCCTCATGCCAACCACACAGGCTGCCCAGAGCTGGTTCTGCCCATTCCTCAGAGGAGAAAACTGAGGTTCAGACAAAGGAAGGCAGGAGAAGAAGTGAGTAGCCCAAGGACTCTCTGTCTTGGGAGTTCCCCATCCTGCCTCAGCGCAGCATAAGGGGGCTTTGAGGAGCATGGCCAAGCAGAGGCAAGGGGCTCAGAAGCCCTGATGTTCAAAGCTTTGAGTCTGTCCAGATCATAGGTCAGCATCCAGCAGCGCTTTTTCATTTGTTGGCTCTAGGGGATCACTGTAAAGGGTCCCTAGAGGGTGTCCCAAAACCAAGGCCACTGTTTCACCCAGCCCTCATTCCACCTGACCAACAGAGGTCACAGCCTACCTCAGGGTCTGGTGGCCAGGACATTGGCTGTGTCCCAGCGTGCCCTCTCCACTGGAGCACCAAAGCCTGCAGGCACCATGGGCAACAACTCCTCGGCAGAGACGCGGGGCTGTAGAGGGTCCACCTCCAAGCTGAGCTGGGCAGAGATTTCCTGGGCACGCCACACCCCCCAGTGGCCGGCCTTTCTCGGTGCCTTCTCCACAGACTCTCCCGGAGGCCTCCAGTCACCTTGTGTCTCCACCAGCAAGGGGAGGAAGGAGGCAGAGAATTATAATCACAACACAGTACTCATGATGCATTCATTTGTCCAACAAATACTTCTCCAGGGCCTGTGCCGAGCCCAGCTCTGTGCTAAGTGCAGCAGACACGGCCATGAGTGAGGCAGACCTAGTCCCTAACCTTGGGGACCTGGGAGGCCAGTGGACAGATGGCGGACATGCACACAGATAGGGAACAGATATTCAACATGATGTTGGATGCTGTAGGTGCAATGGAGAGAAAGCAGGCATTGCACAGGCTGAGGGAAGAGGGGAAGGGCTGCTGGTCCAGAAGCTTCTCTGAGGCGGTCACAGGGGAGACCAAGGCAATATAAGGGGTGGTGGGGGGGGCAGGAGGGAGGATGGGGCAGGGGGATGGGGCTGGAGAGAGAATGAGACCCTGAAAGCCAGAGTGCAGATTTGGCTTTGACTCAGAGTGAGAGTTTTGAGCAAGAGAGTGACACTACCTGAACTATGTCTTTAAAGATGACAAATATTTAAGTTAGTATTAGCAGCTGATATTTATTGAGCACTTACCATCTACCAGGGCATTACTCTCGGTGCTCTGACTGCATTATCTTCTTTCATCCTTATAACCACCCTGTTTCAGCAGCACACCCAATGACCTCACTCTGGTTCCATGGTTCAGAGGGGACAGCCCTTAAGGACATGCCAAGGTCGCAGAGCTGGTAAGCATGACCTCAGGACTCAAGTCAGCTCTGTCTCACTCACTCCAGAGCTGTTGGGCTTCCCAATTGCTATCTGATCTTGACACGCTGGCAATGGAGACCCCGGGAGGGCGCTGGAACATGGAGACAGGTGGTCAATCCCAGCTGTGTGGCTTTGGGTGGTCCCTGCCCTTACAGAACCCCAGACATACTCTCTGTAAAATGGGCAAATATATCCTTTTTCCAGAGTGGCAGGGAGGATACTGAGCTCAGGATCCAGGCAGGTGGCGGATGCAGAACAGGTGCCAACAGGGTTCTATCAGTTATTCTGCCCTAGAGTTTTGGGGACTGGCTTCTAGGGGTCTAGGGATACACACATGAGGCTTGAGCCACCCTGGAAAAGAAGGCAACTATTCTGCCTCCTCGATGGAGGAAACCAGGCTGCAAGGGCACTGACAGAGGCTGGCAGAGCAGATGTAGGACACCAGGTAGGACTAACCAAAGTACAGAGCTCATCTGGTCCTCTCCCCAAAATCATCCACTTCCTCTTCTGTCAGCAAACACACAGGAGCAGAGTGGCTCCATCTCCTCCAGCAGTGCAGCTTGTTGTTGCCAAGAAACCTCCCCTTCACTGCCCAGTTCAGGATCATCCCCCTACCCAGGTATCCCAAAACCTGAAGTCTCACCGTTAGAGAGCTATTCCATTGAGTTAAGCAGTTGTGCCTTACTGGGCAAGTTCTTGTATATTTAGTTCCACGGGACTCACAAAAATCCATAGAGAGAGAATAACAATTATTTCCATTCTTTACCTTTTTCCTTTTTTCTTTTTTTTTATTGAATAGAGATGGGGTTTCTCCATGTTGCCCAGGCTGGACTCAAACTCCTGCACTCAAACAATCTTCTCACCTGGATATCCCAAAGTGCTGGGATTACAGGTGTGAGCCAGCATGCCTGGCCTATTTCCATTCCTTAAATTATCTTCTGATCTTTTTCAGTGCATAAATATGCATCTAGGAGTACATACATCTTCTCTGGAATTTGTTTTTATTTAACATGATTCCAAACATGCAGAAGCATCATTGAAGAGGCTGTAGCCCTTTTCTAAGAAAATGTGGCATAGTGGTTAGAAGGTACGGTTTGGAAGTAGGCAGACACGGATTGAAATTCCAGGTGGGCAAGGTGCATGACCTTGCAGAAGCCACCGGACTTCTCCAGGCCTCAGTTTCCTCACCTGTGGAATAGGGATAACAGCACTCCTCCCACTAGGCCAGAATACGGATACAAAGGGATGCTGTGTGCAACACCTTAACCAAATGCCCTGCACAGGCAACTGCCCAATTAACAATAGCTATTGTTATGGTCTGTTTAGTCCTTCTTATTGAGATATGCACATGCTTAGAAAGTTTCCCTGCTTGAAATGATATTTGTATAAGCCATGTATTGCTATGAAACAAATTACCCCAACACATAGTGGCTTAAGTAAACACACATAAATTACCTCCCAGTTTCTGTGGTGGAGAAGTCCAGGCACAGCTTAACTAGGTCCTCTGCTTCTGGGTCCCTCATAGGGCTGTGATCAGGATGTCAGCTAGGGCTGAGGTCTCATCTGAATGCTCCACTGAGGAAGGATCCACTTGGAAGCTCAGAGGGTTGCTGGCAGGATTCAATCCTTCAAGGCCTGTTGGACTGAAAGCCTCAGTTATAGCCAGATGTTGACTAGGGGCCAGCCTTAGCTCTTTGCCACATGGGCTTCTCCAGCATGAGAGTTTGCTTCATCAAAACATACAAGCCAAGAAGGCAACAAAGACAGTCAGCAAGCAAGACCGAAGTCTTACGTATCCTCATCACACGAGTGATGTCCATCATCTTTGCCATATTCTATTCCTCTGAAGCCAGTCTCCAGGCCACTTCACACTCACTGGGAGGATGTGAATGCCAGCAGGCAGAAATCTCTGGGGGAGCCTGCCCGACCCAGGACTGTGCAGCTCAATTAGCATTTTCTGGTGCCTTCAAGGTGCCAAGCATGGCATTAGTGCTGGGAATTTTAAAGTAGATGAGTTTGGGCTTCCACCTTCCAGGAACTTTTTCTGGGAGGTGTTTTCTGCTTTGTACTCTTACTCACTTTGCATTGCTGTGACCACTTTGTGACCTATGTAGAATCACTCTTGAAAGAAAAAGGAAATTAATAACTTGATAGTGTGAAAGAGTTCGCCAGACCTTTTTTTCCTCTGAAGGGCACTTGGAGAGTAGCAGTCATTGTGCCAGCTGCTGTAAGTACCAAGGAGGTCCCCAGGGTGATGAGCTCAACCCACAGGTTGAGCCTGGAGCAAGGCAATACCACAACAGAGGCCAGACCCACAGTGGGAGTTGGCATAGTGGTTCTTCTCAAAGCAAAATAAGTTATAGACAATGGCCAAAAAGCTGAAAGCAAGCTTTGCCCTATGCTTAGGGGGCCTTGGTGGCTTGATTTCAGAGCAGCAGAGGGTCTCTTCCCCAACACAACCCTTCTTCCCACACCCTGATGTCTACCTCATGGACACCAGAGAGGCTTGCTACAGGGAAATAATAGACACACACTTTTAGCTTTCATGAAAAAGCAACTCTCTTCATTAGAAGAACCTCATCTTCCCTCGCTAACCATAGAAGTCTGGCAGGGGCTGCCAATCACAGGTTCCACTTCTCTTGGCCACAGGGGTCGGAGGGTAGATTTGGTATCCAGGCTCAATCAATCTCCCATCCCCTGTCCCATAAAACATGTAACACAAGCCAATCCAATCAGAGTCATTCCCTGGGATTGTTTTCCAGGTGAAGGTCACAGGAAGAGATCTTTCTCCCAGTTGGTCAGGACACTATACAGCAGAGGCCTTGGAAGCAGATGGTGGTCACATTTATAGCCATATAGGAAAGAAGGGGGAAGATGGAGACCAATATACAGAGAAGCGAGAGAGAGCCAGCAGCATGCCAGCCAACAGCATTACATCCTTGAGTCCTGTCTTCCTTCAGGAAAGCTTTATTCTTGCCCTTTCTAGACATGTGAACCAACAAATTCCTTTTTACATGCTTTAAATAATTCAAATTGGGTTTCTATCACCTGCCAACAATAGGGTCCTAAACTATAAGCCTATCATTTCACCATTGAAGTTCAAGATAAAGCTACAAATCCTCCTGGGAGAGGTGATTCATGGGTCCAAATTCTTATTAAAGTATAAATGACTGAGATAGACTCTTTCTTGAGAGGAGGCTGTAATTATGAGCTTATCTGAAAACAGACAAAGCACCATACAGCTAGAAGTAAGGAGAGTGAAGACATCTGGAAACCTTCACCTATCATCTCATAAGATTTTTTTAAGATTAGAATCTGCAGTCACCAGTGTGCTGGGTTTGGCACCCAGTATGGGGTTCGGTCAGTATTGTAAAAGAGAAGAAACAGAAGCAAGGGAAAGTGGAAAGAAAGGAAGAGTAGGAGAAGGAGGAAGATTAAAAAAAGAAGAGAAAAAAGAGGGAAGGAGATAGGGAGAGGAGAAGGAAGGGAGACGAGGGAGGAAGAAAAGAGAAGGAAGGCTTGAAGGTAGTAAGGAGGGAAGGAAGGAGGGAGGAAGGAAGGGAAAGGGAAAGAAAGAGAGGGAGGGAGGAGAAAGAAGGAAGGGAGGGAAAGGGAAGGGAGGAAGAGACACAGAGACTAGACAGACTGAGGCGAGTGGGAGGAAGAAACCCAAGATACTGAGCGCCGGCCCCGCCCGGGCTCCGCCCCCAGCCCCGACTCCGCCCCCGGCCCTTGGGCTGCAGCGCCACCTCCGGTCGCCAGGGGCCGCCACCCGCAGTCTCCGGCACCCGGCGCGCGCGGCGGGCCCTCTTTCCCGCCTCTGCGCCCGCCACTCATCGCTCCGCCGCAGCTCTCGGGCTCCGGCAGGGTCTCGCGCGCCGCCTTCTCGAGAGGGGCCTCGCGCCGCTCGGCGCGCGCCGCCTCCCTGCCTCGCGGCGCGGGGTCTCGTGGGCCCCGCTCCCGCCCTCCGCTCGCCTGGCCCGGACCGGAAGCGGCGCCGCACGGCCTGGGCCTGGCGAGGGGGGCGGGCATCGGGGCCCGGTCGGACATGGGCAAGAAGCACAAGAAGCACAAGTCGGACAAACATCTCTACGAGGGTGAGGAGTGGGCCAGGGTGCGGGCGGCGGCTCTGCGGGGCTTCTACTCTTTCCCAGTGGCTCAGGGGCGGCCCTTCCCTCCCACGTCAGGCTCAGGCCCGCGAAGGGGGCGCGTCCCGCCCGAGGCCGCGCTGTCCCCTGTGCCCCGGCGGCATTCGAACCCAGGTCCCCGTGGTCCGGTGGGTCTCTGGTGGGGAGCTGTGAGGCGTCCCGGGAAGCCTGGCAGCGTTCGGGGCGGGCGGCGCCTCCCGCCCGGGCCGGGGTCGGTCATTCAACAGGTGCTTCTCGGGGCGCCCAAAGCCGCCTCGGCCTTGTAGTGCCTTCGCGCTCTGCATTCTTGGCACTCCCTGGAGAGCCGCTACTTTAATCCGCGCGCCTTCCTTTCTTTTCTTTTCTTTTTTTAAGAGTATGTAGAGAAGCCTTTGAAGCTCGTCCTCAAAGTAGGAGGAAACGAAGTCACCGAACTCTCCACGGGAAGCTCGGGACACGACTCCAGCCTCTTCGAAGACAAAAACGATCATGACAAACACAAGGACAGAAAGCGGAAAAAGAGAAAGAAAGGAGAGAAGCAGGTTCCAGGGGAAGAAAAGGGGAGAAAACGGAGAAGAGTTAAGGTACACAGGTGGTTGCATTACTTCAGCTGTGCGGACGGCACTGCCTCCTCCAGCTGCCAGCCTCACGGTTTTCTTTGTATCTGGGGAAACTGAAACGCTGGTTAAATCTGGTTCGCTTGAGGAGGAGCAAACAGAAGAGAAACATGAATCATCTCCGAGTTTCAGCATATCGTTTTTGAAATACTCTTAAGGCGATTGTACTTGCACATCAGGTGAGGAAGCAGCTAAGTCCAGATTTTCAGGAGCTGCTTCAGAGAATGCTTTTTCCATCTAGGCAGGGTAAAAAGTCATGCTCAAGAAAGCTTCAGTGTTTGAGGTTTGTCAAAAATAGTCATTTCAGACGTGAATGGGACCTACTGGGGTTTAAATTATGTTCTGAAAGAAATATAATGCCAGATCTATAATGAACAACTGGATCTTTTAAAACAGTGTTGTAGTCTGTTGAAGAGAAAATTTGGTCAGAAACCTGTAATGGAGATTGATATTCTTGATCATATGCATTTAACAGAAAAGAGTGAGTAGCTGCAGTCTTGATTTGAAAGCTGGGCAAAATAATAATTAATGACTGGGCACGGTAGCTCACGCTTGTAATCCCAACATTTTGGGATGTCCAGGTGGGAGGATTGCTTGAGGCTAGAAGTTTGAGACCAGCCTTAGCAACATAGCAAGGACCTGTCTCTACAAAATAAACTACAAAAATTTCCAGAGCCCGATGATGTGCACCTGTGTCCCAGGTATCACTTGAGCCCAGGAGTTTGAGGTGACAGTGAGGTATGATCACACTACTGCACTCCAGCCTGGGCAATAAAGCTAGACTCTGTCTCTAATAATAACAACATTGTTATTACTGTTGCTAACTTTGCAAATTTAACCTGCCACTGAATGTAATGAATCAGTTACTGTATTGTGAAGGTAGATTTTCTATAGATTAGTTATATAATTTTTCTTATGTTTATATATACAGCAGGAATTTTCTATTCCATGTGATTAAACACATTGATAAGTCACCAAGTCTTTGAGGTCTTATTTTGGGGATTTCTTAAGTCTATTGCTTCCCTTTTGTCCCAGTTTTTATTAGCTTTGGTTAGGCTGTAACAACATATAGGACTAATGTTTTCTTTTTTATATTATAAAACCCGTATCTGCATTTGATTTTTTAAAAGTAGTTTATGTGGTACAGAAGTACACAAAATGGAAAAAGTTTTCCTCACCCCAGTCCTATTATAGACTCCCTCTTCAGAGATAACCAGTTGTTTTTTTAAATTAATTTTTCTTAGTAGTAAAGTAATTTGTGAAGATGGTTTTTAAAAGTCAAGAGTACTACACAGTTTTTTGACACAAAAACAAGCAGCTGCTCCACTCTCGAGTTAATACTTCCTACACTTTTTAGGTATTTTTCCTTTCCTACTTATCTCCATTTCTAAATATCGGTTTATATTGCTACTTACTGATTCAGCAGTTTATGTCTTCTACCGACATCATGTTATGGAATATGAGAATTCAGTTTCCCTTGCTCACGGTATAGGCACAATTATTGGTTAAATCAACATTAAAGTGATTGTAGACAAATACAGTATGCAAATATAGATCTGATCTTGACCAGTTAGTTTATTGCTTTCATGTTTTTGGTTATTGCTTAATAATTCTTCCCAAACTCTAGGATTTATGAAACTCATTTGAGTTCTTTACTTCCTTTTTTTTTTTCCCCTGGAGACATATATCTTACCGCTCTCTTGTCTCCTGGAGGCTAGATTAGTTGCTCTTGAGGCCTCATGGGACTCCTTTCACCTGCTTCCTGGATCCCATGCCTTCCTCTTTCTTGATTCATTCCCTTGTTCTGGTGTATTCTTAACTCTAGAAACTTCCTAAGAAATCATACACAGGAGGTAGATTTTATAAGTCCAAACGTTTGAAAATCTATATTCTAATCTCACACAGTTTGATGGTTTGACTTGATGTGGGATTTTAGATTGAAAATTATTTTCTTTCAGACTTCTTAAGGCATTGCTTTGATGTTTCCTGGCTTCCAAATTTGCTGTTGAGAAGTCTGTTGCCATTCTGATTCTTGGTCCTTTGCATATGACTAGTATTTGCTAACTTGAACTTTTTAGGATCTTCCCTCTTATCTTCAGTGTTCTAATATTTCACAGTGAATACTTGTGCCTTCAGTTCAGAGCTGTTTGCTTGAAGTATTCTTGTGTTCATTTTCTTCCTCCATTTTTTCTTTTCTTGTTTTCTGGAACTCCTGCCCTTGATATATTAGACTCCTGAACCGATCCTTCTAATTTTATGTTTTTCCTCATGTTTTTTTCTTGGGGGGCAGTGTGTGTCTATGTATGTGTATGTTCTTTCTTCAAGGACCATCCCTAAAATTTATGACTTTGTGGATTTATTTCCCATCTTGTACCTTGAATTTCCAAGATTTTTTTTTCTTGTTCTCTAATTGTTCTTTTTAAAATAGCACTCTGTTCTTGGTGTTAAATGTGGTATATTCTTTTCTATCTCTGAGGATATTAATTGAAATTTTTTCATTTTTTTTCTCCTAAGTTTTCTTTTGCTTCCTGCCCTGTCTCTTTCTCCCCCAAGTTCTTCAATTTATTTGTCTGTCTCTGTTTTCTGTTGAAAGCATCCTTTAGTTGTCTGTTGAGCTTTTGAAGTCTGTACAAAGCTGAGTAAATGCTTTGTACCTAGACAGAGTTTGTCAGTTGATGGAATTTATTGTAGAATGACTAACAGGGACTTGGTCATTTTTGGTGGCATGACTCTTAAAACGTTAGTTTTTCTTTCCTAAATGTTCAGTCTTACATTTTCCCATGTTATGTAAAAAATAAAATAACAGCTCATAAAAATGCTCTTGACATCTGATCTAGTCATACACAAGAGGATAGTTAAGTAAAACTAAGATGCAATAGTTAGAATTATGTGTAGGCTGTTAACTTGATTAAATGATTTATAATAGTTACTGAAGTATTTCTAAAATCACATTAGAGGAAATAATTATATATATACCTGTTATGATTGTAACACTGAAAAATCTGCACATATATTTTACAAATAACTGCTACTTATCAGGCACATAGTACATGCTGGGTTCTGAACCGAGCACTCGATGTATGTCATCCTGCTTTACTCCCTACTGTAATCCTGTGAGACTGGTGTTATCATCTCTCTATTTTGTTGGATTGTGGTACAGTACACATAGCTTTTTATTGAAATAGCTCAGGCGAGTGATCTCAATTCCTTTATTGAAACTCACTTGCTGTTCTGAAGAACATAGTCCTAACCCAAATTATGTCTTAACAGCTTTGTAGGTCAACTTCAGGTTTAGTTGCTGAAAGAAGATGGGCCAGTCACATTGCTTAGGGATGTTGTCAGAATAAAATCAGAAAGGTAGTCATTAAAAAATTTTTTTACTCAAAAGTATTAACACATATAGGATGTTATTATTTATAAGGCTAAAATTAAGTAAGACTTTAATGAAAATTGCAGTAAATTCCAGTAAATGCCTATTTTATTAAAGTACTATCTATACGAAGTCCAACAGGGGAGGCACAGTCATAAAAACTAACATTCACGTGTTTAATATCTGCCAGGCACTATTCTAAATTATTGTGTATATTTACTGTTTTAATCCTTATAAATAATTCTGTGAGGTGGGTGCTGTTAGTATCTCCTTGTATTGCTGACTTGACTGAGCCAGAGTATGAGGTAGCTTTTACCTAGAGAGGAGCAGTGACTGTAATTGTGTTAAGCAAAATGAGAATTCTGGCAAAACGCAGTTCATTGACTTGTACCATCTGTCACACCTGGGATCCCCGGGCTGCTGTGGTTTATCTGGCTTGGCAGAAAACCCTCCTCCTTTCTCAGTGTTGGTCCGTGTGTGTCCCTCCTGAGGTAGTCATCTCAACCCCAGAAGCCCTTTCCAAGGAAGGAGGAACTCTGAAAAGGGGCCTGTGAGTAGCATTGCTTCTTTGATAGAAGGGCTATTCATTTGTTTTTTTATTCAACAAATATTTACCTGACACCTGTTATCTGGCCAGACTCTGCTGGGCACCAATGATTAAGACAGACAGACAGACAGACAGACAGATAGATACACTAAAATAAAATCCTGCAGGAGCCGAAAGTTGGGCTCGAGAATCAGACACAAATGTATAAATAAACCTCACGGCCTGGTAAATCCTAAGAGAGGTTTGAATAAAGTGTTCCAGGAGTCCAGGGAAAGGTGTGCCGCGTTCTGCCATGGGAAGCCAGGGGAGAGCATCATAGAGGTAAAGGCTAACCTGTGTAGCAAATGCAGCTGCAAGGTAATGAAACATCTTTTATTGTATTCTAAAATCAGCTGTTAAAAGGGAACTCTAAATTGTTTTGCATATTAGAAGCATCATTTGAATATATGTATTTGTATATATCCTCCAAACGTAGCCAGCCTGAAGGACAGTACTTATTACTAAGGACTTCAGCTATTAATTTGTGTGCTTTTGTGCTCCTATTTCATACTATCTCCTATGATTAATACTTCTGCAAATACTTAGAAAGTATTATGTGTTCGGCATTGTTGAGCTTGTAGGTACAGAGCTGAATAAGACAAGGACCCCTGTCCACAGGGAGCTCCTGCAGAATAAGCAAATGTCATTTGTTGAGTGAATAATGTAGTTCAGTGAGTGTTAAATCCTAATAATCTGAGCAAAGATTTGCTTTAAAAGCATTAACTCACAAATTAATTAAATCACTTGCCAGCAAGTCATGGACAAATTAGAATCGAGTCAGAAATAAGTAAAATGTGTGTATAGTTAGGGAAATAGACCCTGTTCCTTTCTCCTGCCTCAGATCTTCATGCACACAGGATATTTTCTCTGCCTGGAATGCTGTTTCTACACACCCACGTCCACCCCCAGACTGGCTGGATTCTTTCTTCTTCAGATCTCAGCTCAGATGTTACTTCCTCATGGAAACCTTCCCACACTTCTTGAGTCTAAATTATTTTCACTCAAAAGTTACTCTGTCCTTGAAATCTGTTTTGTTTGTTTGTTGTTGTTTTTAAGACTAGTCAAGTGAAGCAGTTGGAGTGAGGAAGGAACAAAGAAATCTGTAGCTTGTTGCGATCAATTAGTTGTAAACATGATTGTTTTTTTAAATGAGTTGTTTAATGCATATCTCTACTCTTTCATTGTGAGCTCCATCCGAGCAGGGCTGTATATATTTTCTCTTTCACTATATATCCACACAGTAAAGCCTCATTTATTTATTGAATGAATGAGTGTCCATCATGTGCTAAGTAATGTGCCAAAACTTCATTTCAACTATCACATTTAATCCTTAAATTAGTCCTATGAGGTATGTATTATTGTATCTATTTTAAATATTAGAAAATTAGACTCCAAAAAATTGTATAGTTTATCCATGATGCCATAACTAATTATATAGTTTATCCATGATATCATAGCTTTGCCACCTACTAGTGACGAGGTCAGAATTTGAACCCACTTTATAAACTGTAACGTAAACTCTTCTTCCTTAACTACCTAAAGTTAAATGGCACTAATATTTTTACATAGTTTTCTATATGTGATTAACAGAATTTACTATCTATTAACCAAAACTATGTTAACTTATGGTTTTATATAACTGTGTTCCTTTAGTAAGTGACATTCACAACAGGATTTTAAACATACTCTGAATTATGAAAAAGAAAATGTGAAGGTTGGAATCAGAATTTTAGGTGGAGAGAGACCTGTAGAGAGCAAAGCCTTACGTTGTACAGATGGGAAACTGAGACTAAAACAGTGCAGTAACTTGTTCAAAGTCATATACTGGTGAACTAGAAGCTAGATCTCCTGATTCTCCATCTGGACATAACATGCCACAATATCACTATTCAGTTTAGGGTGGTTTCCAAGTATATGTTTTTATATCTTTTTTTCTTTTGGCCTCCCTAGCCCCGAAGGCTTTTTGCTTTACTGAATAATAAAGTGGTTACTGTAGACCAGGATAACTAGGTAACGATACTAGGTAAGAGTAGTACAGAAATATATCCTCCTTTGGTACTTTTTCCACTTTGCTGGTTCATGATTAACCATCTCATCGACTCTGCAAGATAAATAATAACAGTTAAATCTCCATCTTGCATGTGGGAAAGAGGTCTAATGAGAGTAAATGAATTGCCTAAGGTCACAGAGTCGTTTTTACTTTATTTTTTTGAGACAGGGTCAGGCTCTGTTGCCCAGGCTAGGGTGCAGTGGTGTAGTCTCGACTTACTGCAAACTCCACCTCCTGGGCTCAAGCCATCTTCCCACATAGCTGGGACTACAGGTGCACACCAACATTCCTGGCTAGTTTTTGTATTTTTTGTAGAGGCAGGGTTTCACCATGTTGCCTAGGCTCTCCTTGAACTCCTAAGCTCAAGTGATCCACCAGCCTTGGCCTCCCAAAGTTATGGTATGACAGGAGTGAGCCACCGCGTCCAGCCAACAGAGTGTTTTAAGGATGAAGCTGAACTCCTAGAGCATACATTAGCAAGCCGGCTGACAGTTTTTGTAAATAAAGTTTTATTGAAACACAACCAAATTTATTTACATATTATCTGTTGTTGTTTTCATACTACAACATATACTATAATACAAAAACAGAGTTTAGTAGTTGTGACAGACCTTGTGGACCACCTAAATATTTATAGTTTGGCCATTTTTGGTTTTTGTTTTGAGTTGTTTTTGACACAGTCTCGTTTTGTCACCCAGGCTGGAGTGCAGTGGCACAATCTCAGCCCACTGCAACCTCTACTTCACAGGTTGAAGCGATTCTCCTGCCTCAGCCTCCCACATAGCTGGAATTATAGGCCCACACAACCAGCCACAGCTGATTTTGTATTTTTAGTAAAAATGGAGTTTCGCCATGTTGTCCAGGCTGGTCTCAAACTCTGGCCTCAAGTGATATACCTGCCTCAACCTCCCAGAGTGCTGGAATTACAGACATGAGCCACTGCGCTTGGCCCATTTTGGTTGTTTACCAAAAAGTTTGCTGGCCCCAGCTCTAGACTCTTAGCACTGGGACTAGTTTTTTCTTCCTGGGAGAATGCATACTGCCTCTCAAGCCGTCCTTTCTTTACAGGTCACATTTCATAGGAAGGAATCTGTATCTCTGGGGCTCATATTCCGTAGAACAGATGTTCTAAACTTGCCAGTCTACCAAAGATCCATATCAGGTTTTCTGGACAAAGGATTTAAAATTTTCCAAGGTTAAGAATTACTGCAACAGAATATGTTGTGAGGTGATAAAAAGAAATACATTAATCAACTAACAGTGGTAACTAGGATCAAGTGCATGAGTAGAGTTTATAACACTGTTCTCTGGAGCTTTTAAAACAATAATATATTCTGTATTAGGTGCTTTGGATTCCGAAAATAGAGTGCAAAGCTTTAGATCAGTGATTCTCAAAGTGTGGTCCCTTTGAGTAACACCCACATGGCCTGGAAACTTGTTAGAAAGTACAGATTCTCAGGCTCTACCGCATACTCGCAGGATCAGTAATTTTGGGGACAAGGCCCAACCATCTGTGTTTTTAATGACACCTTTCAGGTGATTCTAATGCATACAAAAGCTTGAGAACCACAAGAGGACCTCAGAATTTTTGTTTCTTGCAAAATCCTAAATAATGCTGGTGCTGCCAGCCTGGGGACCATGATTTGAGAACCACTGTTCTAGATTCTAGAATAAGAAAATACGGCATAGGCCAAGAAATAGCTTTCTGAGTCTGTAAGATCCTTCTGAGAATCTTGATTTTGAGCTTGAAATGGGCATTGTTGGACAATTTTACTTCAAAATCTAAATTGTAAAAATGCAGAGTACACAGAATAATAAAACCATCTGATACCAACCATCCAGCTTTAGCAGATCTCAACATTTAGCCGTGTGTGTGTGTGTGTGTGTGTGTGTTTTCCCTAAGGAGAGAGCAGACAGAGACGAAATTCCCCTTGTATTTTTTCAGAGTCCCATTTCTCTCTTCTAATACAGAGAATCATTACCCTGAATTTGGTGCATATCACATGCATGTTTTTATGATTACAAGTTATGCATAAAGCTTACACATTTTCATACTTACCTTGTAACAGATAATTCTTCTGCAACATTTTCTCCAATATTGTTTCTGAATGTTATTCATGTTAATACAATTTTAGCTCATTTATTTACCTATTATGTAAATATGACATAATTTATTAACCCATTTGCCTTTTAATAGGTGTTGGATTATTCCTATTTTTTACTATTTGAAACAATGCTGCAATAATCTTGTACAAGTCTCCATGTATACTGTAGGACAGGAGATTTCTCTGGTATATGCACAGAGTAGTAGCTGAGAACTGGAGAAAGTCTTTGCTAGCTTTGCTACATGTTGCTAATTGCTCTGCTAAGGATTGTTCCTATTAATTCACCCAATTGCAAGGTATGAGAATCCCATTTCTCTACATTTTTATCAAAACAACATTTTCAGACATTTTTAATTTTGCCAAAGAGAGGTGAAATACCTTCTTGTTTTTAAATTTAATTGCCTAAGTTCTAGGGAGCTTGAGCTAGTTCTCATGTTCTTAACATTTCACGTTTCTTACTCTGTGAGTTACCTGTAGTATCACTTACCTGTTTTCCCTTTTGGATTTTTTTGCCTTTTTGCATAGATTTATTGATATTCTTCATGGAATCTTAATGTTTTATAAGTTGTGTTTCAAATACTTTATCTCAGTCTATTATTAGATTTTTAACTTGGTTCATGGATTTTGTTGAGGTACCAAAATTTATCAACTTAATACCAAATTTATCAAGTTTTTCCTTTAAGATTTATTCTTTTTGTATCTTATTTAAGAAAGTCTTTTTCTACTCCTGGGTCTTAAAGATGCTTTACTTTTATATGAAGTTCAGAAGCTTTGCTTTGTACATTTAAGTTTTTATCTGGAATTGACATTTGTGTATGGCATGAAGTACAGCTCTAATTCTGTTTTCTCTTTTCAGGTAACCAGTTGTCTCAGTACCACCCTTTTGTCATTTACTTATAATGTCTCCTCTGTGATATACTAAGATTAATCTGTGTACATGGGTCTGTTTTTGGGCTCTGATCTCTTCTGTTGGTTTTTGTGTCTGTCCCTGTGTCAGTCCCACATTGTCTTATTATCACTTTATGCAAATAATATCTGGTAAGACATATCATCTTATTCTGACCTTTTTCAAAGCTATTCTGTTCTTAATCATTCACTCTTCATGGTAAATTAATACAGTTTACTTATAAAATTCTATGTAAAGTTTTGATTATTAATAAGAGAGTATTAACTCTTTGAATTCATGAATGTGGTATATCTCCTTTATTCAGGTCTTCTGTGACCTTCAGTAAGGTTTCACAGTTTTTCCGAAAAGGTTTTGGGTATCTTTTATTAGATTTATTCCTGCATGCACTGTATTGCTTTTTTGGGTAGTAGTATTTTTCTAACTGGTTATTTCTGGCATAGAGATGCACTTTTGTTTTCCTTTGTGAATATGTGCTCTCCTTTTCCAGTAGATGGCAGTAAAATACATTGAGTTCGTTATTAAGAATATTTTGTTTGCAATAATGTCTTTTTACCCCTTAAAATTAAAATGATTTGTGTATTTAAAGATACTGGTTCTGAAATATTTCTAAATTAGCTCCCTTTGTTCCATTTAGGAGGATAAAAAGAAGCGAGATCGAGACCGTGTGGAGAATGATGCAGAAAAAGACCTCCAGTGTCATGCCCCTGTGAGATTAGACTTGCCCCCTGAGAAGCCTCTCACAAGCTCTTTAGCCAAACAAGAAGGTTGGAATAACTGTGAATTAACTATCCTGAATGAGGAGGCTGAAATTGTTAGAGCTCAGGAAAGTAGTGGGGTTTTAGCTTCTAAGTTGGAGCTTTGTGATTTAATTTTTAATTTTTTTTTCTCTCATACTGCATAGGAGCTGTAAATTGGCTTCAATTTTTGAATTGATACTCTCAAACTTGAGTATATTTTTAAGAGAAATGGAATTTCTGTATGAGATCTTTAATAATGGTTGTAGAAAAATGATTTAGTAAATAGTACTCTCTAGAATACTCCTTTTTAAAACACCCTTTCCCTTTTTTCTTTGCTTTAGAAGTAGAACAGACACCTCTTCAAGAAGCGTTGAATCAACTGATGAGACAATTGCAGAGGCAAGTGTTTTTCCAATATTTTTATAACATAGAAATTAAAATGGCAAATGTATAGGATCCAAACCACATTTGTACCTAACTCCAGGCATACTTGATTTTAAAGTGAATGATAAGTATTTTGCCTGGCAGTAGAAGTACTCCAAGAGGCTAACTTTTAGATATTCTAAATTTGGTATGTTTCCCTGGCAACTTGAAGGGCATTACATAATACTTTTAATGAGAAATTTCTCTGTCTCTAAAGTAATTTCTGATGTTAAAACTTTAGGAATGAACAATACAGATATTTCCACTTTGCTAATAGATAGATATACTTTCTTTGTATTTGTACAATGCTTATCATGCCATGAATGTTAAGCAATTATTAAGTATGGGAGAAAAAATAAAATACCCAAAATAGGAATCATGGCTTTATTTTAAAAGCATAAATTTGTTCAAAAAGTTCAGTGCCTAAGCCAGTGTTGAGTTCTTAAAAGTGAAAAGAATAACTCAGTCTTTATTAAAATATTTTTTCGATAACTCTCTTTACTTAGAGTTTAAATTTTCAGCTCAAAGATATTTACATTATTTCCAAAGGGTTTATGGTTGTAGATCATACATTCTTACAGTGGACTTTCTTTCATTGTATTGAACTTAAGTCAACTCAGAACACATTGTAAGTAATTTTTCTCTAGTATAATCTGTATTCAATGCCTGTTCAGGTTTTTAGTTAAGATCAGAAGTTAGCTAAGTACAGTAGTTCACACCTGTAATCCCGGCACGTTGGCAGGCTGAGGCGGGAGGATCACTTAAGGCCAGGACCAGCCCGGGCAACATAGTGAGACCCCATCTCTACAAAAAAATAAAAATTATCCTGGTGTGGTTGTACATACCTGTAGTCCCAGCTACTCCAGAGACTGAGGTGGGAGGATCACTTGAGCCCAAAGGGGTTGAGTCTGCAGTGATAGTTGTGATAGCACCATTGCACTCCAGCCTAGGCAACATAATTAGATCTTTTCTCAAAAAAAAAAAAAAAAAACCTGGCCGGGCATGGTGGCTCACACTTGTAATCCCAGCACTTTGGGAGCCCAAGGCAGGTGGATCACGAAGTCGAGAGATTGAGACCATCCTGGCCAACATGGTAAAACCCCATCTCTATTAAAAATACAAAAAATTAGCTGGGCATAGTGGAGCACCTATAGTCCCAACTGCTCAGGAGGTAGAGGCAGGGGTTGCAGTGAGCCAAGATCATGCCACTGCACTGCAGCCTGGCGACAGAGTGAGACTCCATCTCAAAAAAAAAACCGACTAGTCTCTCTTCATTTTTGGTGTTTGCATTTAAATAACTCATTCATTACTTGTCCAAAAAGTGAATAAGTATTGGTTATTCCATCACAGTATACAAGGTGTGACTATAAAATGTCCTGGCTGCCTTATAGTTTTTCTGGCAACGTAAGATTAGAATGTAGGTTAATGATGTCATCTTAAAAGAAATCACTTAATTCTCAAAAGTAGACATGCAAATGGCCAACAGGTATTTGAAAAACTGCTCAACATCACTAATAATTAGAGAAATGCAAGTCAAAATCACCAGGAGACATCACCTCATCCCGATTAGAGTGGCTCTTATCAAAAGACAAAGAAAAAATGCTGGCAAGAATGTGGTAGAGAAAGAAAAATTGTATATATTGTTGGTGGGAATGTAAATTAGTATTGCCATTATGGACAACAGTGTGGAGGTTCGTCAAAAAATTAAAAACGGAACTACCATATGACCCAGCAATTCAACTACTGATTATATATCCAAAGGAAATGAAATCAGTATGTCCAGGAGATGTCTGTACTCTTGTGTTAATTGCAGCACTATTTACAGTAGCCAAGATGGCGAATCAATCTAAGTGCCCATCACTGGATGAATGCATTTTTTAAAATGTGGTATATATACCCAATGGAATATTGTTCCACCATTAAAAAGAATGAAGTGCTATGATGTATAACAACATGGATGAACCTAGAGGACATCATGTTAAATGACATAAGCCAAACACAGAAGAACAAATATTGCGCAATCCTTTTGTAGTTTGTAAGTGTAATGATTGGGTTTTCATGTTCCTCTGTGATGTATACCGCCCCTCAGACCTTGCTACTACATCAGCGCATGACGTATCTGATGGGAAGACAAAAAAAGTGGGGTGAGGGGACAAATATTACATCATCTCAGTCATGTGGGATCTTAAAAAGTTGATTTCATAGAAGTAGAGAGTAGAACAGTGGTTACCAGAAGCAGGGGGGAGAGGTAGAGGTTGATCAGTAGGTACAGAATTACAGTTAGTTAGGAGGAGTAAGCTCTGGTGTTCTGTTGCACAGTAAGGCGACAATAGTCCACAACCATTATATACTTCAGAATAGCTAAAAGAAAGGATTTTGAATATTCTTATCTCAAAGAAATAACAAGTGTTTGAGGTGATAAATATGCTAATTACTCTGATTTGATCATTACACAGTGATATCAAAGTATCATTGTATATATGTACATCAGTATATATGTGTTGAAACATCACACTGTACCCTCTAAGTATGTGCAATTATATGTCAATTAGAAACAAAACCTTAATGAAAAAAACTTCAGAAAGTATTTCTTAGTCTAAACACATTAGCATTGTTCAAAATGTTTTGGGAATTAGAACCCAGAGCCATGCTGTTTTGATTAGTTTTAGTGATTGGATGATTCCTCATTTTTACCAGGAGCTAAGCCTGATTAAAAAAAAAAACTAGTTGATCAAGTTTGATAATGGTATTTTTGGTCAGAACTATGTGGGGCTCTGTATTAAAATGACTGACCTAGGCATTAGATAATTTCCTCCAAAGGGTAGCTGCAGGAGGCAACCCAGAGATGAATGCTGCTGTTACAGTAACTCCTGTGGACAGCACACATTTTGATGTATAGGTCTTGACTGGGTATTTATAAATGAGGATACCATCACTTTGATGGCTTTTGTGTGATGATTTGATAGAAAATATGTCAAGTGCCTACCACTGGGACTAGCAACATGGTAAATGCATTTTAAAATTTGTTGTTAAATTTTTTTTTTTTTTTTTTTTTTGAGACAGAGTCTTGCTCTGTCACCAGGCTCGAATGCAGTGGGGCAATCTCGGCTCACTGTAACCTCCACCTCCCGAATTCAAGCGATTCTCCTGCCTTAGCCTCCCAAGTAGGTGGGACTACAGGCACATGCCATCACACAAAGCTAATTTTTGTATTTTTAGTAGAGATGGGGTTTCACCATGTTGGCCAGGATGGTCTTGATCTCTTGACCTCATGATCCACCCACTTGGCCTCCCAAAGTGCTGGGATTACAGGTGTGAGCCACCATGCTCAGCCAAACCAATTTTTAAACCTTTTGTTGTTGTTGTTGTTGTTGTTATTATTATATGGAGTTAGAAAACTTTTGGTATACCAGATTTCCAGAGGGGGGAAATATCAGCATAATGATTTAATCATATAAAGTACTGATTCTCAGCCCTGACCATACTGGAAATAAAAATGCCAAATAGTCAAATCCCAGTGTGGCACTCAACTGTGGACCTTCTTCCTCGAGATTCTGATACAACAAGTCTAGGGTGAGTCTTCCTTCCACTTCTTCCCCCAATTGGAATTTTTTTTAACCCTCCTGTGTGATTCTAATATACAGCCAGAGTTGAGAATCTGTGATGAAAAGCACTGGTTTTCAAATTTGGGTTTTTGATTTGGGGGTTTTTTTGGTCCAGTCCTGTCTTGGCACATATTTGGGGGTATTAAGAGGACCTTTTTAATGTCGGTTTTTTTTTAGCATCCCCCACATATACGTAATAGAAGTTATATCCAATGATGATCCAATAGACATACATGGACTAGAAATACAAGCCTATTAGAAATTAATATGGAGAATTTTAGATGTTTGTTCATAGTTATTATTTTGGCCTTTTCCCCTTTGGTTGATTAAAAATATGCGGTACTAATCTCCCAAAGGTTAAAACATTGGTCAGTTAGTTGAGGTTATTTTGCTTCATTTTTTCCTAGGTAGGAGGGGCTATTAATGAGGCTGAATATTTTAAAAGAAAGACTCTCCATTCTAAGGGTACATTACAACTAGTATATAAAACATTCTTGTTACTAAATAGTTAATAGTCTTTAAAGTCATTCCTTCAGTAAGTTATAAATATGTTAACATACTACAAATTCTTTTTGCATCTGAAGAGTTTCCACTGACTTCTGCTCCTAGACCAATAGATTTGTAATAGAATAAAATATAACATTGTGTTTTGCATATCTTCACAGAAAAGATCCAAGTGCTTTCTTTTCATTTCCTGTGACTGATTTTATTGCTCCTGGCTACTCCATGATCATTAAACACCCAATGGATTTTAGTACCATGAAAGAAAAGATCAAGAACAATGACTACCAGTCCATAGAAGAACTAAAGGTAATTCTTCAATCCTATATACACAAAATCTTGGTAGAAATCTGTGTCTGATATTAGAAATTCCTTCTCATTGACCTTAAATTTTGTACAGAATCGAGTTTATTTTAATATCCAATACATTTGTGTTTTTCTGCTTCAGAAAACTTTTTATGAGCTTGGTGATGGAAAACCAGATGAAATAAGCCATCTGCTATGTTTCATTCATGACTGTGTTTGTCTTTAGTGAAATTTTGAGTTTGATATGTGTTCCACTGTATATTTTTCCCTACCTTAGAGTGAAATTTTTAGCTTTAGATCAATACAAGTAAAAAAGCTGAGGATTTTTTTCTATTTCTAGACATATAAGGTATACATATTAGCCCATTCTTACACCGATGTAAAGAACTGCCTGAGACTGGGTAATTTATGAAGAAAAGAGTTGATTTATGAAGAAAAGAGTTTTAATTGACTCACAGTTCCACAGGCTGTACAGGAGGCATGGCTGGGGAGGCCCTAGGAAACTTAGAGTCATAGCAGAACGCGAAGGGAAAGCAAGCACCTCTTCACATGGCAACAGAAGAGAGGGAAGGGGGAAGTGCTCCGTACTTTCAAACAACCAGATATTGTGAGAACTCACTCTCATGAGAACAGCAAGGGGGAAATCTGCCTCCATGATTCAATCCCTTCCCACCAGGTCCCTCCCCCAACATTGGGGATTTTAATTCAGTATGAGATTTGGCTGGGGACACAGAGTCAAACCATACCACATACACTCTAAAGAATAAATTGACTTGACCAGAAATTAAAGAAAAGTCTAATTACATTTTCTAATTTGATAAAAGTTAATTGCTCTCTGAGTTCATTTTGGCTATATTCGTTGAGCATATTTTCTTCAGCTTTAAGAAGAGAATAGAAGATTTACAAGGGCCTGAAATCCCCCAAGTTAATGTATATACCTAATATTATGGATGAGGTATTTCCTATTTTGGTGTATGCTGATTTCAGGGGAAGGAACCATGTATATTAAAATTTACTATGTATTCAACTGCCACAAACATAATTGGTTTAAATAATATCCGTTTTACCTCTTAGCTCAGCTGACTTAATGGTTAGACCCTACTTGGTTACGCTAATTAGTTACTTTTCTAGAAATAAAATAAGATCATGTTTTTACTTAGTCCCTTTTTTCATCCACATATTGATAAGCTGAGATTTATGAAGAATACCGTTGTTTAGTGCTCTGTTATTGAGTTTATAGGTAATATTCCACTTACTCCAAAGAACCTGAATTACATTCTCTGTTTAGAGAAATGGGAACTTTCCCAACTTTTTTTCTGGTGAAAATTAGGCTAAAGCTGTTTATTTCAGCATATTTCTGACCTGACCATTGCTTAATGGAAAAGAATTTCAGTTTTTTTGGTTTTTTTTTTTTCTTTCTGTGAACAATTTTCCCCTGTCTTTCTCTTATGGTAAGAAGAGTAGAAGTGTGTCCCCAGAGTATTTTTAAGCAGGTTAGGGTTTATCATAATGGAAAGGAATTGGTATCTTAGCTCTTTAGAATTTCTAGATTGCCTTTTTTTTTCTAGGGAAAGCTCAAGCCTGAAATAATATTTATTAGTTTATTCAGTTCATTTGGCAGTTGAAGTGTGTGTGTGTGTGTGTAAAGTGCAGGAAGATTCAGCTTTTTGAATGATCAACTGCCATCACACAGTCCAGTAAAGCCCAGCACATTATGTTAAGATTTAAGGAATCTACAAATTGCCTTAATAAATCAGTCCTGTGTTCCTTAGAACAATCTAGTATTCTTACCAGTTCATAAGCCCGTTATTGTCTGGCCAATTATAGGCCAAATGGTCACTTCGTTTGAGTATAATCTAGTGTCTCCGTTCACTTGCATCCCATTCCCCCCAAATATTTTATTTATTTATTCTTTTTTATTTTTTTATTTTTTTTGAGACGAAGTCTCACTCTGTTTGTCAGGCTGGTGTGCAGTGTCATGATCTCGGGTCACTGCAACCTCTGTCCGTCCCCAGGGTTCAAGCAATTCTTGTGCCTCAGCCTCCTGAGTTGCTGAGACTACAGGCATATGCCACCCCACCCAGCTAATTTTTTTGTACGTTTAATAGAGACGGGGTTTCACCATGTTGCCCAGGCTGATCTCAAACTCTTGGTGTCAAGCAATCCACCTGCCTCGGCCTCCCAAAGTACTAGAATTATAAGGATGAGCCGCTGTGCCTGGCCTACTAAATCTTAACGAAATGAAAGAATATCTTTTCTGAATATTTGTAGCAAAGATATAATAAATATAAAAATGTAATATATAAATATAGATATAATAAATATAAAAATATACTGTATTTTTACTGTACTTTTGCTGTATTTAAATACACAAATACTTAACCTTGCGTTACAGCTGTCTACAAGTCTTTAATCTAGGGTCCTTTGGGTAGCCATGATGAGCCTTTAGAGGGACCAAGAACCTGCTAAAATTACACGAAGACTTCTGTGTTCAGCTGTGTATATGTGTACTTGAGGAGTGGTCCCACAGCTTTCATCAGATTCTTGGTGATCCAAGACCTGGCAAAGTCCCAACTGTTTAGATTCATAGCCCAAACTGAAGATCCACATATACTTCTTCCACTTCAATACCAAATTTATTGCAATCCTTCAATCAGTCTTACATACTTTACATAGAACTCACTCTACTTTGTTCCATTTAAGTGTTCTAAGCTGTCATCACTATTAGTGGAATTTGTATGTTTTTGTTTTTTAGAGGAATTTAATAATTCCTATATTATATAATTCCTGTATTAATAATTCCTATAACAATTTAGACACCGATTCTCTTCTTGGGTTTTTCTTTTAACTTAGTAAGGCCTTGGTATAATGAATTGCACATTGATAGATGTAAAAATTACTTAACCATGAAAGCATGCAGTGGGGTCAAGTTCTCTAGCACATGCACAGGCTTTGAAATTTAAGCCAAAAAGACCATTTTGGTAAATCGGGCAGTCCAGTTACATGCTTTAACTCCTTGAGGTTGTATGGTTTATTTCACATTGGCGTAGTTTTGCAACATTCTGCAAATTATGTTTAGTTTATGATAGTATCCAAACACATAAAAGTAGTGTAAATGTTTTAACATTTTTTGCTCAGTTAATTTGAATTTGGCAGGAAATACTGGGATAATTTAGGACTGCTCCATTTTCAGTCAAGATCTGAAATAAAATGTTTAATTCCTAAATAGAAACTTAAGATGTTTGTTTTAAAGCTAAGAGTAATTTTTTAAAATTATATGAACTACTCAGCTAAGATCATTACATATGAAATAGAAGTATTTTCTTGAAATTTTTTTATGTGCAGTAAGATTATACTGAAGAAACCCATTTAAAGGTTTCATTCTGGGATCTACAGTTTATATATAGGTACTATAAAATATATGAGAATTTGGGAAATAATATCATGGCATATTTTAATAAATTTAGCAGTATTTGTTTTGTTGTTGAGTCTTAAGTTGTTGTTAGTATTGTTTAGTAAATAGTGAAAGAAAGGGATGTTGTGGCTTTTTAAAAATTTTTGGAGGACCTGTATGGTTTCAACCCCGGAGGTGTGGCGTAGTTTGTTTTGCTTTAATACATTTTCTCCCTTAATATTCTTTTTGCAGGATAACTTCAAACTAATGTGTACTAATGCCATGATTTACAACAAACCAGAGACCATTTATTATAAAGCTGCAAAGAAGCTGTTGCACTCAGGGATGAAAATTCTTAGCCAGGTAAAGGAAACTCTTTGTCATAAATAATCATTGTTACACAATTTGTGCCCCTGTTTGTTGGCCATAGAAATACAGATACAATACAGTATTGATTTTATTTTTTAGCAGATTATATTAAAGTAGAAAATACTAAATGAAAAAAATGTAATAAAGAGAAGAAAATTAAGACAGGAAAATTCTTACTTGGAATCAATGAAAATACTGGCATTCACTTGTAATTATCTCTTTAGAGGCTCTTGAAACATCAGCCTGAATTCCAGGATAAGACTGGCTGAATTATGAGAACTTCAAAGAAGATAGCTCTCTTTGCATTTGTAAGGGTGGAATCTAATGTTCTGGTCAATCCTGTGCTTCTGGGTGAAGCACAGAATTTTTAGTAGAAAGAAAATATAGTCATGCGCCACATAATGACATGTCCATCAAGAACAGACTGCATATACAATGGTGGCTCCATAAGATTATAATACTGTATTTTTACTGTACTTTTGCTATATTTAAATACACAAATACTTAGCATTGTGTTATAGCTGTCTACAGTATTCAATATGGTAACATGCTCAGCAGGTTCCTGGCCTAGGAGCAATAGGCTATACCATTTAGCCTAGGTGTCTAGTAGGCTATACCATCCAGGTTTGTGTAAGTGCACTCTGTGATGGTCACACAACAAAATCGCCTAACAGTACATTTCTCAGAACGTATCGCTTCATTAAGCCACCTGTGGCTATACAAAAAACTTCAGAACTGTCTCAAAGCCACCTCTCCACAGGAGCAGACTCTTTCTTAAAGAATAAGAATTAGTGCAATAGTAAGGCATTCAAGGTCAAAGAAGTATATGCGTGGGCACAGACACATCATCATCGAACTGCAGGAAAGAGGTTAAACATGAGATACTGTACACAGTGGGAAAAAATTATGAATGTTGTCCCAGGATGACAGTTGATAAAAGGCTTTGAAGGGTAAACTGAGATTACTGTGCATCTGCTGGAGAAAAGAACTCACAAGATAAGTCCTATCTTTTGAGGTTTTTCTCACCACTCCGAGTAGGAGAAACCTACTAGTAAAAGACTACTTTAGGGAAATGAATCAAAGGTGATCCTGGCACCATACCATGACAGGCAGGCAGAAGACTGGGTTTTCATTTTAGCTGTCTTCCACTAACTTGTGGACCTTGGGCAAGACAGTAACTACCCTGGGACTCATTGTTCTCATCCCTAAAGAAGAGTTTAGTCTGTGATCTCCAAGATGATTTGTAGGGTAACTGTTCTGATTCTAAATAAGAGGTAGCATGGAGAGGATACTATGAAAAAGAACAGCAAGATAGGACAGGAATTTTGCAAAGAAGTGGTGGGTTTAAGACACTGGTAGAAGGAAAAGGGATCAGAGTTGAGAGCTTGAGCTCACATTCAGGGGAGTTAAAGGATGCTAAAAATGCATCTGCATATGGTTTTCCGATTTTTAAGGTGATCATTTTTCTGAATTAACAGTTTTACATTTAAAGAAATGCCTTGGTGTACAGACGTCAGAGTGTCTGTGTGCTTGGTTGAGAGATTCTTGGATTCACTTAACTAGGGAAAGAAAAACATGTTTGAATTGTTGATTATTCTTGCGCTCCTAATATTTAGACAGCATCAGTTCCCACCCTTTACAAAAGACTTGGGAAACTAATGGAAGCCAGTTACCCATCTTTGACAACATTTGCAGAGAGGAAAGAGGAATATGAAATATTTACACATTCTTTCCAGGAAGACTCTCAGAATCTAGAACCACACCATATTCCAGGTTTAAAGATATGGAAATGCTTATTACTGTGTTTGAAATAAAAGTGCATTTAACAAATGCAGTCTTAGTCACTCCAAAATGTATACATTGAATTGGGTGGGAGAGCGTAATTTTTAATGACCTTTGATTTACCACTTCCTTAAGTAATGTAGTTAATAAAACAAGCAAAAGATTCCAATATCTCTTGAATTTTACTGGGTTGTGAAATGATTGAAAGCACAGAAAATAAAATTTTCATCTCCACTTTCCCTTCCCTCCCTCCCTCTTTCTTTGTTGTCTTCCTTTTTTTCAGATCTTTTGCTGTTGAGGAGCCCCACCCATCCTGTGTTATTAGCTTCCTGTTGACTGTTCTCTCCACCCTACATGGGAGGGGTTGTCACAACAGTGATTTTTAAACATTTAAATTTAGACCTTTTAAGTTAACTTTTCTGATAGTTTGTGCTACCAAGAGAGCCCAGCACACAATGTGTCTTTTCAAAGATAACTGTTTTTGAATGTTCATTGCAAAGATTCTAGACTAGTCATTCATCATTTTTCCAGTTACACTCAAATAGCAACTATTAGTAGACATGTTATTTTTATAAAGAATGAACAGATGAGGCCGAGCAAAGTGGCTCACGCCTATAATCCCAGCACTTCAGGAGGCCAAGGTGGACAGATCACCTGAAGTCAAGAGTTCAAGACCAGCCTGACCAACATGGAGAAACCCCATCTCTACTAAAAATACAAAATTAGTCTAGTGTGGTGGCGCATGCCTGTAATCCCAGCTACTCAGGAGGCTGAGGCAGGAGAATGGCTTGAACCTGGGAGGCGGAGGTTGCAGCGAGCTGAGATCACGCCATTGCACTCCTGCCTGGGCAACAAGAGCAAAACTCCATCTCAAAAACAAAACAGATGAAGAATAACTTTTTATTCCCTAAATAAATACTTGAATAGAATGCTACATTGTAGTGCAAACAAAGTAATACAAACAACACTATTTGTAGCATAGTGACTTTGAAATCGGACCAAAGTTCAAGTTCTAGTTTTACCTTTGGAAGCTTTGTGACCTTAGGCCCTGTAACCTTTGTCAGCCTTTTTCCTGTTCTGTAAAGTGGAGATAATAATAGGACTTACCTCATGGAGTTTTGTCTGGTACATGGGTAAGCACTCAGTAAGTGTTAGCTATGTTATTGGCAAAGAATCAGCCCTGTTAGCCATTTAATATTGTAAAATTGAAGATCAATAATATGCTGGCTTGGAGGCATTTTAATTACCAAAAAAGAGAAGGCATTACTTTCAAAGGAAAATTAAACTTCATTTTTTCCTACTTCTATTATTTTGTGCATGTCACATTTTTTAAAATCACACAGTGTTCTTAAGTTTTGCTTTAGAAAATTCTAGAGCAAAATTATTACTGAGAAATAAAATTATTACTGAGAACTTACAGAAATAACTCACTAATATTTTTAATGTAGCAAAATAAAACATGTTTTTAAAAATCAAATGGATCTGGATTTTTTTTTATGAGACAGCCTCACTCTGTCACCCAGGTTGTATTGCAGTGACAGGGTCTCACTGCAGCCTCCACCTCCTGGGTGCAAGCAATTCTAATGGATTTTCTGTTTAAGTGATGCTATTGTTTTTTGTCAAGGATTCAGAGAAACTTTCAAACTAGTTTAACTTGGTATGTAAATTGGTATACCTTTTCTGGAAGGCAGTAATTATCAGAAGCCTTAAAAATACTCATTCTCTTTGACTTAGAGTTTCCTAAGAACTTATCCTAAAGAGATAGTGGTTCGTATATTTATTTATAATGATGTTTATGGTACTTTTATTTATAATAGTGGAAACATGGAAATCTAAATGTTCAATCATAGGGCACTAATTAAATCATGATATGGACATGGGATTAAATACAATTATTAAAATATTTTAAGTATTGTTATGGAGAGGAAATGATTACAATTTATTAACTGAAAAAAATGCTTTTTACTAAATATTCAGTATAATTCCAATTTGCTAAGTAAGACTTGTAATGGTTGGAAAAGTACTGGAATGATAAGCCTGTTAACACTGTTCTTTTCTGAAGATACATTAAGAAGATTTTATTTTCTCCTTACCCATATTTTTATTTGTCCACAATAAAATATATCACTTTAATGGTTTTAAGATTACTTTAAAAGTCCAGTAAAAAACAGCAGAATCTTTGTTCTTGAGGATCTCACCACCTGCACTACTAATAGAGCATCGTAGAGCGTGGTGTGGTGTCACATCAGTGACAGCAAGCCTAGTCTTAGTTGCTGGTTTAGTGACCTTAGGTGAGTCATTCATTGTTTCTGGGTGGTGGTGGTCTTGTTTGAATGACCTCTGGTTCTTTTTAGTTCTTTTTTTTTTTTAACATATATATTTCTTAATTGTACTTTAGGTTCTGGGGTACATGTGCAGAACATGCAGGATTGTTGCATAGGTACAGACATGGCAATGTGGTTTGCTGCCTCCATCCCCCTGTCACCTGTATCTGACATTTCTTCCCATGTTATCTCTCCCCAACCCCTCTACCCCCTGCTTCCCTCCCCTAGTCTCCCCCAAGAGACCCCAGTGTGTGATGCTCCCCTCCCTGTGTCCATGTGATCTCATTGTTCAACTCCCATCTATGAGTGAGAAAATGCAGTGTTTGATTTTTCTGCTCTTGTGTCAGTTTGCTGAGAATGACGGTTTCCAGATTCATCCATGTCCCTACAAAGGACAAGAACTCATCATTTTTTATGATCATTTTTTATGGTTGCATAGTATTCCATGGTGTATATGTGCCCCATTTTCCTTGTCCAGTCTATTGTCGATGGGCATTTGGGTTGGTTCCAGGTCTTTGCTATTGTAAACAGTGCCGCAAAGAACATACATGTGCATGTGTCTTTATAATAGAATGATTTATAATCCTTTGGATATATACCCAGTAATGGGATTGCTGGGTCAAATGGAATTTCTATTTCTAGGTCCTTGAGGAATTGCCACGCTGTCTTCCACAATGGTTGAACTAATTTACACTCCCACCAACAGTGTAAAAGTGTTCCTATTTCTCCACATCCTCTCCAGCATCTGTTGTCTGCGGATTTTTTAATGATCGCCATTCTAACTGGCGTGAGATGGTGTCTCAATGTAGTTTGGATTTGCATTTCTCTAATGACCAGGGATGATGAGGATTTTTTCATGTTTGTTGGCCTCATATATGTCTTCTTTTGAAAAGTCTGTTCATATCCTTCTCCCACTTTCAAATGGGTTTGTAGATTCTAGATATCATCAGCTCTTTGTCAGATGGGTAAACTGCAAAAATGTTTTCCCATCCTGTTGGTTGCTGGTTCACTCTAGTGACTGCTTCTTTTGCCGTGCAGAAGCTCTGGAGCTTAATTAGATCCCATTTGCCTATTTTGGCTTTTGTTGCCAATGCTTTTGGTGTTTTAGTCATGAAGTCCTTGCCTATGCCTGTGTCCTAAATGGTTTTGCCTAGGTTTTCTTCTAGGGTTTTTATGGTGTTATGTCTTATATTTAAGTCTTTAATTCATCTGGAGTTAATTTTAGTATAAGGTATCAGGAAGGGGTCCAGTGTTTGTTTTCTGCACATGGCTAGCCAGTTATCCCAACACCATTTATTAAACAGGGAATCCTTTCCCCATTGCTTGTTTTTGTCAGGTTTGTCAAAGATCAGATGATTGTAGATTTGTGATGTTGCCGCTAAGGCCTCTGCTAGTTCTTATTTTCTGTTACTCCACAGAAGTCTTCCCTGCTGATGCTATGCAGCCCGAAGGAGATTGCACCCTGTATTTTACCCAGTGATAACTCAGAGTCACAGGCAAAGTAGTCAGTAGAAACAAATATGCCTTCTTAAAATTTACAGAGAAACCTCAAGCCCTTAACTAAAATGAAAATTTCACAGCACATCATTGCAGTGGAAAATTAAGCACAGGTTTCACAAAATAAAAACAATACTTCTTTGGTTAGAGAAACCATTATGCACTCAGGAAGGAACTGTGCCACCAGCCTATCTTCTCCTCAAGGCTTGTTGTTTTCACATAGAGCTAAATGCCTTGTTTTCACATAGAGGTCCTTCACACATTCACATGCCCTAAGCTTTGATACACCTAACAATTCTTAAATTGTCAAAAGATAAGCCAGTCTGTTAAATACAAAGTTTTAACACACCATTAAACTATATTTTTCTTTTTCAGTTTAGTACTTCAAAGAATATTTACTCTTAATTTGTACTTTCTTTTCTGTTAACTTTCTGATAGTACAATAAAGTTGTAAAACTTTCTTTGAAGTTGGAAATTAAATTTTAAGAATTGAAGGCGTAGGCCTTATCATGGTTTCTAAATATAATACTCTCTTGGTATATGAATCCGTTTAATTGTTTTTCTTCCCTGGTTAATGATAGGATAAGTGCAAACGCTAGTGGGAGAAGAATGCATTACTTTAAAAGTTAATGACAAACGTATAATAATATTATTTTCAAATACATTTAGGAAAGAATTCAGAGCCTGAAGCAGAGCATAGATTTCATGGCTGACTTGCAGAAAACTCGAAAGCAGAAAGACAGGACAGACACCTCGCAAAGTGGAGAGGATGGCGGCTGCTGGCCAAGAGAGAGAGAGGACTCTGGAGATGCCGAAGCACAAGCCTTCAAGAGTCCCAGCAAAGAAAATAAAAAGTAAAGGATCTTTGGGATGTTAAGGTCAAACTGCCTTCTTCAAGCCTAGTAAGGGGGAAAAATACTGATTTGGGGCCTGACTTGGGAAGACCAAGTGCCACTGTGTCCGTGGTAGTGGTTTTTGGCAATGAAAGTCCATTTCAATGGTATGATAACTCTCTTCTCTTACAAAGCACTGTATGGGATTGTCCAAACAGTTCAGAAAGCAGTTCTAATATGTATTCTTATTGAAGTAGTTTTAAAACTATAAAGAATCTTTTGGGACTCATATGATCCGTGAGTTTATTTAAATAGAACTGTTTGTTTTTTAAAAATGCATAGTCATTACTCCTTCCATAAAGGAGCAAGGAGTTCAGTGGGAGCACCATCACTGCTGCATCTTAAACAGATGGGCTGTCACTGTATCATGCCCATGTTTTCCACCCCGTGTCACCTGGTGGGAGTAACGCCGAACCACTGGTTCACCCAGGCAGCCACATGCGCAGCTGACAGCAGCCACATCTGCCCACTCAACACCACTGGGAGCCAACCCTGACCGCCCCAGCACCTCACTGCCAACTTTGCTGGGGGTTGTAGTTAGCAGTTTGGGATTTTTGCTCTCATAATGCAAAGAAAGTAAACTAGTGACAGGTTTCTTTGTTCTAAGACTTACACACTTTACTGTTTGTTTTGAATTTAAATTTTAAAAATCAAACTTTGAAAGAACAATGGTATATTCTTTTCCCTTCAAAATAATGTTTAAGGTAGCACTAATTTTTTTGAAAGTTCCCAGAAAAACTTTTAACACAAGTAACACTGGACAGAAAAAGGTAGGGAAGTAACATGTCAGGTGTGCCTTACTGTTTCTGTTTGTATTAGAGACTCTTAACAGGTCATCGAGGAAATAAGTTTTAATGAGTGACTATAGTACAAATGTCTCCACTTTCGTTGTATTTATATTTAGAATTCATTTTAATGTTTTCATCTTATCTATTTTTTTTTACTTAGTATTAATGTGTTTTCAGGAAAGACAAAGATATGCTTGAAGATAAGTTTAGAAGCAATAATTTAGAGAGAGAACAGGAGCAGCTTGATCGCATCGTGAGGGAATCTGGAGGAAAGCTGACCAGGCGGCTTGTGAACAGTCAGGTGACTGAGCTTTTCCTTTCTTTTCTCTACCTACTTAGTTGGGGCATCTGAAACTTTTAGTTTTTAAATTGCTTGCATATTTTTAATCCATACCTGCCATAGAGTTCTTCATCAGTATAATACTGAGCAGAAAAAAAAAAAATGAACAGACAGTTTCTTAGAATGGGTTTATCAGGGTGTTAAATGCATTTTCAATTCATGATATTTTCAACTTACAATGGGTTTATTGGATGTAACCCCACTGTTTTCTCCCTTTCTGTAGGATGTCTCTTTGTTGATAGTTACTTTGGCTGTTCAGAAGCTCTTTAGTGTAATTAGGTCCCGGTTGTGAATTTTTGTTTCTGTCACATTTGCTTTCGAGAACTTAGAAAATTTTTTGCCAAGGCCCATGTCCAGAAGAGTATTTCCAAGGTTTTCTTCTAGGATTTTTTTAATTTGAAGTCATACACTTAAGTGTTTAATCCATCTAGAATTAATGTTTGTTTGTATATTGTGAGAGGTAGGAGTTCAGTTTCATTCTTCTGCACGTGGTTAGCCAGTTTTCCTAGCCCCATTTATTGGTCTTTCTACATGGTTTATTTTTGTTGACTTTGTCAAAGATCAGTTGATTTTATTATGTGGCTTTATTTCTGGGTTCTCTGTTCTGTTCCATTGGTCTGTGGGTTTTGTTTATTTGCACCTATATCATGCTGTTTTGGTTATTGTAGTTTTATGGGAGGTTTTGTTTGGTTTCGTTTTGAGACAGGGTTTCAGTCTGTCGCCCAGGCTGGAGTATGCAGTGGCACAATCTTGGCTCACTACAACCTCTGCCTCAGGAGCTCAAGCAATCCTCCTCCCTCAGCCTCCCAAGTGGCTGGGACTGCAGGTGCATGACACCATGTCCAGCTAATTTAGGTATTTTTTGTAGAGATGAGGTTGCACCATGTTGCCTAGGCTGGTCTCAAACTCCTAAACTCAAGCAATCCACCCAGCTCGGCCTCCCAAAGTGCTAGGATTACAGGTGTGAGCTGCCACGCCTAGCCTGTAGTATAGTTTGAAATTGGGTAGTGTGAGCCTCTGACTTCGTTCTTTTTGCTTAGAATTGCTTTGACACTTCAGACTCCATTTTGGTTCCATATGAATTTTAGAATAGTTTTTTCTGAATCTGAAGAATGATGTTGGGAATTTGTTAGGAATAGCATTAGACAGTAGTAGGGACATTTTAACAATATTGCTTCTTCCATGAGCATGGAATGTTTTTCCATTTGTGTCATCTATGATTTCTTTCAGCAGTGTTTTTAGTTCTTCTTGTAGAGGTATTTCACCTCCCTAGATATATTCCTGGGTATTTCATTTTCTGTGTGGCTGTTGTGAATAGGATTGCATTCTTGAATTGGCACTTAGCTTGAACGTTATTGGTGTATAGACATGCTACTGATTTTTATACGTTGATTTTGTATCTTTACCAAAAATACATTTTTCTTTATATACTCTATATAGAATTGTTTCTCTTATATCTAGTAATTTTAATTACATATATTAACTATTTTAACTCTTAGTGACCCTAATTTCGAGTAAAAACCCTAAGATTACCTAATAAAACATGACTTTAAGATCTAAAATTACTGAAGAGAATTTTGAAACTAGTTTTATTTGTCAAGGATTACTAAAGTTGTGTAAACTAGAAGACAGATGAGCCAAATTCTTTTTTCTTTTCTTTCCTTTTTTTTGATAATTTATTTAAGCACTTACTTTTCTTTGGTCAATTGATTAGAGCTCTTTGATATATTTTAGTAGTGACGTATCACATATACATGATACATGTATAGACATGAAAACACACAGAAGCAGATCTAGATTTATAAGATTCTTCATTTGCCAGTTTTCGCTTTCTCCTCCCCTCTTAGACTATTAATCATTTCCAAAGTCATAACAAAGTAGATGAAACAAGGTAGAAAATGTACACCTCAAAGGTGTAGAACTTAAACTTAAACCCCATTACCTGAAAACAAGATTGCCAGAAGGAGGTTGCAGTGAGCCCAGATTGCGCCAAAAAGTGTCTTCTTTTCGACTTGGCTTGTTTCCTTATTAGATTACTGGTTTCAAGAGGGAGCCCTTTAAGGAACAGGGCCAAGAAAGCATGCAGCTTTTAGGGCCTAAATACTTACTGGAAGACAGGTTTTAGATCACCCCAAATCACTGAATCCTGAGTCCCCAGAAGCTAAAGAGATCAGGTAATACAGTACAGAAGAGAGCGGAGTTCCAGATCTGAGCGGAATCTGTCTGCTTACAACTTTTGGTATTCTGTGACGAAAAAGAGATTATCCCCCAAAAGAGGAGTCTTTGATGCCTTTTCTGTTTACCTCAAGGGATCAGAGGCTGTCACAAATTCCTTTAGGTTTCTAATATGGCATTGAGGGTGCCAAGAGGAAGGAGGGACAGGCAAACAACTCAGTTGACTGAGGCATTTTTCGGAGCCATTACAGCAGCCTTAAAACAACAGACATACACGTGTAGCCCAAATAGGAGTTGTAACTGAGTTGACTTTTGAATATAGAGCTCTTTAAAATATATAAATTTTTTTCCTAATTGTAATTCCTACTCAAGCTGTTTTGCTTCTGCTGCTAGCTGGGCTCCTGTTGCCAAACACGCAGCCCACAGAAGTAGCCATCTTGCTGCAATGGCTGCCGGCCTCCCTTGCTGACCACAGTGCGATAATTGGCTCTCAGCCGACAATGGCTCCAAATACATTGGTGTTTTCAGGACATTCCCGTATTCATGCACAGGCATCTAAAATGTGAGCCACACCACTCCACATGGAAGTGGCTGCCACCTGGGATTTCCCCCACAGATGCTTCCTTCCCTTTGCCCATTTCTTGGTCCCTCAGTCTCTGGCTAGCTCCCCCCAGGTTCCATTGTGAGCAGATCTGTCCACACCTGCTCTAGAGTTCAAGGAAGCTGAGCGGCAGAAGAAAGAGACTGACAAACCTAGTTTCTAGAAAGAAACACTTGACACGGACTTAGGAACAGAAGCCGTGTCTGTGTCTTTGGTGGGTAAGATGGTGGGTCCCCACCCATATTGGTTTTAAAGCCAAATAGGTTTATACAACCTTTGGGCAAGCCACTGCCCTTACCTGGTCTGCAGTAGCCTCCTTTTCTGATAGACGAGGGAGAACTAGGTGTCCTTAAGGACCCACAGAGCTCTTTAGAATTCTGAGATTTTCCTCACCTCCATTTCTCTAGCTCATCAGCTCTCATATACATGGAGATAGGTGTGAAAGTTAGTATTTGAGTTTAATGATTAGCCACCTGTAATGTTAGTTTGGTTAAAATACGGCTTTGTGGTTTGCTGCATATATGAATGTGGTACAGGCTGAACATCCCTAATCCAAAATTTCAAAATCTGAAATTCTCCAAATCTGAAAAATTTTGAGCTCCGACATGATGATGTAAGTGGAAACTTCCACACCTAACTTCATGTGACAGGTGCACAAAATCATTTAAAATGTTGTATATAAAACATAAAAAGAAAAAAAAAGTTGTATAAAATTACTTTCTGTTTCTTTAAAGTGTTTATGAAACATAAATGAATTTTATGTTCCATCCCTAAGATATCATATGTATGTAAATATTTCAAAATCTGGGAAAATCTGCAATCCGCAACACTCTAGTATCAAGCATTTCGGATAAAGGATGCTCAGCCTGTTTGTATAAAACAGTTCATTCCATCTGAATACTTGGGTCATTGCAGTGTGAATTTGAAAGAAGAAAACCAGATGGAACGACAACGCTGGGACTTCTCCATCCTGTGGATCCCATTGTAGGAGGTAGGATCAGAGGAAGACTGTGTGTGAACTTGATACTGTTTGGCAGAGGACAGTAACCTGGGTTAACATTTTAAAGCAACAAGCTTGAATATTGATCAGTCTCACTGCGTCATTATGCACAAAGAATCTAGCTAGATATCACGTATTTCATGGTAACAGCTAGCCTAACATTCACTTCATCCTGAAGTAGGTATAGTATATCAAGTTTTCCTTAAAATTCAGAGTGCCTGAAATATTTTAAACCCACCATTAACAAAGCCATAACTTTTAGATAATAATTCCTAGCCATGGTCTTAAGAGACTTCAGTATATAACTCAGTTTAGAGGTATCTCATACCTGCAGATTATGACCTTGTAAATTTAACTGACCGCTTTATTTCAGTGAATAAATGAATGTATATGCCACACAGTGCCTTAACGATAATGGAAGGTGTATGCTTAGTGACATCCCATCTTTCACTGTGTTCAGTAGAAAGTTTGTAAAGATTGGGAATCTATTTTGGAACCTCAGTCATCTTTTCGTTTTCTCAAATGAGATAATATAGGTTATATTTTGAAATTCGATATAAGAATTAGAACTTTTTGTCACTAGTCTGAGGGGAGAATCATGTATTGTGATAAGCAAATGTGAGAATGTTAACTTCTTCAACAAATATTTATATTCATACTGTCATAATGAGAGAAGTAATTAGAAATATGAAAATGAATGACAGAATTCCTACCTTTAAGGAAATACTCTCTGATATTTATTGTTTGCTGTAAACAAGGTGCTGTCTTAGGAGCTGGCTGTATAGTAGAGAACAAAAGAGAGAGAGAGGAGTCCCTTTCCCTTAAGTTCTATGGGGTCGGGGGAGGAAGGCTCACGTAAAGAGAAGTCTGTCCATAATCAGTACTGTGCAGGTATGTGTCGATCATGAATAAATACTAAAAAGGAAAACAGCTGTGATTGTAACAGCAGATACCTACCTAGTGTTTGGGGGTCAGGGAAGGCTTCCTTAAGGAGATGATGTTTAGGTTGAGTAAGGGATGAGGGAACAGAGAGCACAGCAGGTGAGAAAACCTTGAAGCAGAGAAGAGCATTTGAAGATGGAAAGAAGGGGACTATTAATACTCTGTAAACCAGGAGAACAGTAATAGGAAAAAAGGAGATAGTGCTGTTTTCAGAACAAAACTCAGTTTTTACTTTGATGCAAACTTTTTGTAGTAGGATTTTATGTGATCATAGGTCAAAGAACGCCACAGGATTGAGAACATTGCTCTTTCTTCTATAGCTGTGCTGAACATTTGGTGTTAGGAGATGCAGCTAACTGATAGAGGTGACACCTTAAGATCTGCTTGTGAAGCCGAGTGTGTGGTCTCTGCCTTTAGTCCGGTTTCCTGGGTTTCCAGTTTCTGGGACATAATCAAATATGACCAAAGCTGACTTGGCTCCCCACGTGCACAGCTCCCTCTGTGGGCCACTGTCCTGGTTTAAGATAGAAGACAACCCTCCCTGTTCATCTTCTCAGCTTCAATGTCCAGTACCTGTACCCATTAGGAAACCAAATTCTAAACTGTTCACTGAGAAGAAGAGGAAATCTGATTTAGATGTTCAGTTGCTTGACAGTGTCTTCACCACACTGGTCACTGGTAGCGGTAGCCTCCATTGCAGGTGGATCATCTGACACAAACTCAGACTCTTCTTCAGGAGAGCAGATGTCCCTCTGTTAGATACTGTGGTAGATCTTCTCCTAACAGCATCCTCTGTGGTCCCCTTAGGTGCCTACCCATGATTTCTCTATATTACATATTCCCTGTTTCATCACAGGGATTCATTCCTGGCTAACGCCTGTTCTTGTTGCACTAAAAGTATGCCTTTCATAGACACTCATTTATCCATCATGTGTTAAGAACCCTTTTGTCTTTAATGCAGGTGTTTTCCCTCTTTTACTAACCTTTGTACTGGTTACCTTTCGTCTTAACATTAAAAGCCGCTGCTTTTAAAAGTTTTCGTGGCTTTTGTTTTTAATAAAAATCTCATTTTTTAAGTGAAGTGTACATGGTTTTAAGAATTTCAGGAGAGTGTAATGAACAGGTCTCGGTTTTGGTCCTGGCTATATTTCTGCCTGTCTGAGCTTTGATTTTCTTATCTTAAAAGTGGATGTAGTAAGGGCTTCCCAGCCTCCTTCACGGTCGTGCAGATGATATGCAGTGGTGTGTGCAGAGTCACATGGCAGAGGGCCCCATGGGTCATGGCCACATAAGCCTCCTTCACTGTGCTCAGTTTTATGTTTTAGAGCCAGGCTACTGCCCTGTGAGACTGGGAATGACAACTGGAAGACTTCAGTCTGGAGTGAATACTTTGCAGGGGTTCAAAGAGGATAAAAGAAACAAAGTCACTCCAGGTGAGGCTTCTGCATAGGAGTCACTTTTTTCTCTTTTCTGTTTTGGGGTATTAGGGAAAGGAAACACAGTTATGCTTTATTCACTAGGTGGGCACCAATATCTTGGTGGTATTTTTGCAACATTAATTAGCTATTTCATTAACTTTAGAAGAGACTGGAAAATTGGGTATTAGTATTCAAAATGAGTTTTGTTCTTTCTCATTCCTCTCCCTCTCCCTTGTGGGGAAGAATTCACTTGAGAGTAACTGTACAAGTACCTGTTTGGGAGAAAATATCTTAGATTTGCGAACCAGTCAATGAAGTAGCAAAGTTAGGAGGGAATAAATAATCTTTTAGTAAAATAAGAAAACAGATTGACATACAAGTTAAAGAATAGTGTTACAGTATTTGATTTTTTTCAACAGTGTTATATTTGAATTATGGGCCCTACAGTTCTTATGCACCGCATTATGACTCCACATTCGCAAATATCAGCAAGGATGATTCTGATTTAATCTATTCAACCTATGGGGAAGACTCTGATCTTCCAAGTGATTTCAGGTGAGTTTCCAGTTAATATTCTGATTACATTTGTTTAAAAATATTAATGTACATACTTGATTTGTGGATAGACTGACAAAGTTGGCTAAGTGGTAAAAAATGGGTTCACTAATTTTTTTTAGCTGACATTGATGGATTCATAGTTACTGTTATCCTTTAGTGGAGAGAGAGCATGTCTCCCTCGATACTGGCATCTGCAGTATTTTAATTTTTTTTTTGGATGGAGTCTTGCTGTGTCACCCAGGGTGGAGTGCAGTGGCGGGATCTCAGCTCACTGCAACTTCCAGCTCCTAGATTCAAGTGATTCTCCTGCCTCAGCCTCCCAAGTAGCTGGGACTACAGGCATGTACCACCACGGACAGCTATTTTTTTTTTTTTTTTGTATTTTTTGTAGAGATGGGTTTCACCATATTGATCAGGCTGGTCTTGAACTCCTGACCTCTTGATCCACCTGCCTCAGCCTCCCAAAGTGCTGGGATAACAGGCATGCACCACTATGCCTGGCCCCATATTTTAATTCTTAGAAAAATATATTTTTAAAGATACTGTATACCTCAGTCGATCCTCAAGTTTAGGAACTTGTTACTTTAAAATGTTCACGTACTATCTGCTCTATTATAACATGTTGGATGTCAGTGAGTTATGGTCCGAACTTGACCAATTTGGGAACCCACAGTGCATTTCCCCAAAATAGGAGGCAGGATAGGATGGCTCAGTTCCATAGGCAGCCCACATATAAGCCTTTTTGACCAGTCACTTGCCATGTAGACTATTGCAATTACACTCAGCCATCCTTTGTTGCATGTTGCTGTGGGAATATCATCTCTGTGTTCCTGTTTAGGAGTTTGGATCCCATCAACATAACGAAGTTGATCCTGACTTAGCAGAATTCTGGCTCAGGATAGGACACTGAGCTTGGGTTATAGCAAATAGGTTACTGGATATTATTCGATAGGTTACTGAATATTATTCCTTCTTAGCAGTAGTACCTTGTTAATTTTCATTATGTATAAGAAATGTACCCTGTAGATTCACCAGTCCCCTGCTTTTCTGACACAGGGGAAATCTGTACATTAGGACGTATAGTTTGGTTGCTTTTTTATAAGGTAGGGGTCCTTAAATCAGTTGACTGTAGTTTCAGATCAAGCCATTTAATCTTTTAGACCTCATCAGTTTGAATGACTTCTTTCTGGATTATGCATTTATGCATTCCACAAACAGGGATTGTACAGGGAAGCAACACTGGCAAAGGCCCACGTCCTCCCGTCAAATGATGACAGGTGCTTTGGAGAAAGGTGAAGCACCAGAGGAGGAGAGAGTAGTGCTGGGGCTGGGAGAGGGTACATTCTTAAATCAGTCAGGAATGTCTGTTACAAAAGGGAGAGTTGAGCAAAAACTGAAGGACATGAGGAAGCAAGCAGTGCTCTCACCTGATAGAGTGTTTCAGGCAGTGCAGGAGCTGTGCATAGGGCCTGAGTGGGAGGCTTCCCAACACTCTTGAGGAACAGCAGAAAGAAGCAGAAGAGTGCAGGCACATGGCTAGGGAGGGCTTCAGTGAGAGTGGGTCTTTGTAAGGCCTTGGAATTTCATTCTCAGTGAGATGGACACTACTGGTGTATTGTAAGAAGAGTGACCCAGTCCAGCTTATCATGTTTAAAGGATCACCCTAGCTACTCTTGGAGAATAGACTGTAGAGATGCAAGGGCAGATGTTGGGAGATGAGAAATGGACTGGGGGAGTAGCAGGTGAGGTGCTGAGAGGACTCAGTCATCAGCCAGTAGTATTTCTTTACTGATCAAAGTGGGGTATGAGAGAGAAGTCGAGGCTGACTCCAGGGTTTGTAAACTGAACCTAGAAGGCTGCAGTTGCTATTTACTAAGAAGGGGGAGACTTTGGAACATTACTTAAGGGGGAAGATGTAGCATTCTAGTTTTGAATTTTTTTTTTTTTTTGAGATAGAGTCTTCTTCTGTCTCCAGGCTGGAGTGCAGTGGCACAGTCTTGGCTCACTGCAACCTCTGCCTCCCAGGTTCAAGGGATTCTCCTGCCTCCGCCTCCCAAGTAGCTGCGACTACAGGCAAACGCCACCACACCCAGTTAATTTTTTTGTATTTTTAGTAGAGACGGGGTTCCATCATGTTGGCCACGATGGTCTCAATCTCCCAACCCTGTCATCCGCCCACCTCAGATCCCCAAAGTTCTGGGATTACAGGCATGAGCTACTGTGCCCAGACGGATATTTTAAGCTTAAGATATCTGTTAGACTTCCATGTGGAACTCCAAAGGGTGTGGTCCAAACTGGAGGTGTAACTTTTGAGAACTTTTGATCGTACGTAAAAGTCCTGAGATGAAGGCGATCACTGTAGGCAAGAAATGAAGGGGCAGGGAGCAGAAGATCCAGGGACTATGCCTGTGCCCCTGTCACTTGAGGTCTCAGTTTTCTTTGGAGCATTTCATTTTCACTTTGTTCTTGATATTAATTCTCTCATGATGATGTTATTGCTAATTAATATGTAGATACCATGTTATGTCTAGGCAGAAATTTGACATCATGATGTATAACCGAGAGCATCTATTGGAAACAATTGGCTCTGATAGGAGGCTAAAGCTAGTGAAGGTGATTTATGTGAGACTTTCCTAACTCTCTTTCAGCATCCATGAGTTTTTGGCCACATGCCAAGATTATCCATATGTCATGGCAGATAGTTTACTGGATGTTTTGACAAAAGGAGGGCATTCCAGGACTCTACAAGAGTTGGAGATGGTAAGAACACTGCTAACAAAACAGGGTAATTTATTATCGACTCTCAAGCGTTAGTCATTCAGTGTAATGAAACCATGGGATTAACCAGTATGACAGCTGTATTCCGTAGCCCTGAAAGACAGCCCAGCCCGGGTGGAGACTATGGGTGGACAATGAACAGAAAGGAGGAACTTAGCTACCAGGATCTGTGAGGGCCTGAGCATCATCCTTATCTCCTAATCTTGGGACTGTACTACTCAAAAAGGGGGTTTACAACTCAGAAGTCAGTGGGTGTTGTGTCCCCTAATGAAAAAAGAAAGTTTTGCTCACTGGCCTGAAACTAAGTTGGCTAAAATGATAAGGAATGGCCTTTCCTTATGCAGTAATAGCACGTCAGGAGGAACCTCAAGTTTAAAAGTAAAAAGCTTCCTCATTGCTCTTTAACACTTGTAAGCGATCTCTAGTTCAGTTGGAGATAGCTCATAATCTGGAATCATTCCGTTTTGGCTCAAGGATTAGAACCAGAAAATGCTCCTACCGAGTTGATCTCTCTGGGTCCCTTGGGCCATTTAAAAATAAAAAAGAGTTGATCTCTAGAATGTTCCTGTCACCATAGTTAGAGGAACCCTGTGTCTCTTGGAGGTATAACTCTTAATGGTGACTGCAACTGTAGTGCTGGTACCTGCTCACATCTGCACATATGGTTGCTGGGTGAGCTATCAACAGAGCCAAGGTCAGTGCCTCGGTCAGGCTCCACGAAGACTGCTGTAAAGTATTTACACTTGGACCGCTTTTGTCACACTGCCTAAAAAATGAAACATCTTAAAAAACTTTTTTTTTTTTTAACCATATCCTTCCCATCAGTTAATCTGAATGAATTAATAGTGTGACTAAAATTGAATATTTTTCATTTGGATGAATATGGCAAAATGTTTTCAAAATGTTAAGTGTCTCTGTCCTTCAGTATAACAGTTCCTTTTCTCATAATTTATTCTAGAAAAAATCAAAAGTTACATACATATATTGTTTATAATTTTTAGAAATTGGGAATTTGTTAATTCACAACACAACCTTTCAAAGAAAGATGGCATCATTGATTGATGTCCATGATATATTTGTCTCTTGTTCCTGTGTGCATTATCTCTAAAGAACAAAATTGAGAAACTTTCACATTCTCTGTAGCATTTGATTATTTTACAGTAATCCTCTGCTATCTGAAAATATTGCTCTCTTCATGCACAGTAATCCTTAGAACTCCTTCTTGTCGGGGATTTTTCTGATGAAAACAGACACCATTTATGTATTTATATGCTATTTATCAAATACCTTCTTAAACATGTATATAGCTTTTGATCAGGCATGGAAATATCTTAACATCACCAATAATAAGTACCCTAGCTCACAGAATATTCTCAAAATGCTAATAATTGTATTTAGTCATTTTGGCCTGAAAAATTATATTCCAGTAGTGCATATTTTTATTTGTTTTCTCTTGCCAAGAAACTCCTGACAGTTTTCTCTTTTCCTTGATATTTGCCTTCACGTGTTTTCCTAAAAAGCTGTTTTTCTTTATCCTTATAGTCATCGCCTGAAGATGAAGGCCATACTAGGACACTTGACACAGCAAAAGAAATGGAGGTGATTGTATTTTACGCTTTATGAGAAATATTTAAATGGAGAACAAGAGGAATAAGAGAAATCTTGAGAATGGGAAGGGCCGTTGGGTAAGAAGTAAAAAATGAGTGAGTAGAGTTTTGAGGGCCCAGCTGAAATGGCAGACCATAAATGCATACCAGTGCCAAGTTGTACAGTTACACAGTTTCTGTCCACAAGTTTTGAGCCCATATGTAGGTAGAGAAATCAGGCGTTCAGATTGGTGGAGTTGGAAAGCCATACTATAGTATAAATGGAACCATTCTCTTTTGGTTGCTTAATAATCTGGGTTGATCTATTGGCGCCTGCCACCACGCCGAGCTGGTTTTTTCTGTTTTTAGTAGAGACAGGGTTTCACCATGTTGGCCAGGCTGGTTTCAAACTCCTGACCTCAGGTGATCTGCCCACCTAAGCCTCCCAAAGTGCTGGGATTATAGGAGTGAGCCACTGTGCCTGGCCAACGCCATCTTTTCTAAGATGTTGTTTCTTTCATGCAATACTGACAGCCTAGTTTGGAGGCCTGGAGAAGACCCACAAGGTATATCAATAGGAATGCAAGTATATGGACTGGATGGGCTGAAATAGTCTTTGAGTCTGGAAAACACAAGGCCTTGTCATCACCAAAAGCCTTTCACAGTTTAGGCAGCAACAAGGCTCTTACTACTTCATCTTTAGAATAGTTGCCATACTAAACAAATGATATAAATTGTATAAGATACATCATTACATTACACAGAAGTATGGATTTATTGAATACTTGTTTGTGCCAAGATTTGGGAATAGCATTTTAAAAGAGTGTTCTCGAACTTCATTTTCTTTAAGCATCAGAATTAGGACACCAAAGTAAATAGGTAGAATAACTTTGCCTGTAAACACACACCATCTTAGTAATTTCTAGTTAGCACTGTCATGGTTTAGCAAGCTCCAATAATTGCCTGTTTTTCCTTTTGAAGCAGATTACAGAAATAGAGCCAGTAGGGTGTTTGGACTCCAGTACTCAAGACAGGCTCATAGCACTGAAAGCAGTGACAAACTTTGGCATTCCAGTTGAAGTTTTTGACTCTGAAGGTGAGTGTCTCCAGAGGCTTTGAAATACTGCATGATGTAGGCGGTCAAGACTTAATGTCTCATAAGTACAGATTAACATAGCCATTCACCACAGGAAGATCTTGGCTCACTAAATTAAATGAATGGTTATGGTGTGTTGATTTCATTTGAAGGGGATTACTCTTTTGAAGGGAGAAAGCTAACCAATAATTAGCAAAGCTGTGGAGCCTAGGAGTCAGTTTACTACACAAGATCAAACACAAGTGTGTCTGCTTTCTTCAGTGTGTTCTTTTTCTTATCACACAGAAGCTGAAGTATTCCAGAAGAAACTTGATGAGACCACCAGATTGCTCAGGGAGCTCCAGGAAGCCCAGAATGAACGTTTGAGCACCAGACCTCCTCCCAACATGATCTGTCTCTTGGGTCCTTCATACAGAGAAATGCATCTTGGTATGTTTTGCCTCCTGTAAGAGGAGAGTCAGGGGAAGCTTCAAAGAAAAAACTTCTGAGTACAGTGGCGATAGCACTATAGAGTAATGCTGATGTCAATCCCAGGGACAGTTTATTTTTTACATTTTATGCATTTACTGTTCTTTGGGATGCCCGAAAATTATCTAAAGGAATCATGTTTCAGTACCTGGAACTATCTTTGTTTTTCTTTTTAGCTGAACAAGTGACCAATAATCTTAAAGAACTTGCACAGCAAGTAACTCCAGGTGATATCGTAAGCACGTATGGAGTTCGGAAAGCAATGGGGATTTCCATTCCTTCACCCATCGTGGAAAACAACTTCGTGGATTTGACAGAAGGTACCTGCCCTGTTTCTCTGGGAGAGTGGAAAGTTGTTGTGACTACAGTCATCCCTTAGTATCTGTCTGGGATTCGTTCCAGGCCCCAGGATTTGGTATCTGCCCCACAAGGATACCAAAATCTGTAGCTGCTCAAGATCATAACAAAATGTATTTGCATATACCCTATGCATAACCTCCTGTATACTTTAAATCATCTCTAGATTACTTATATACTTAATATAATGCAGTTAATATACTGTGTTTTTTGTATCTTTTTTCATTGTAGTCTTTAATTGGGTTTTTTCCCCAAGTATTTTTTGATAGACAATTGGTTGAATCTGCAGATGTGGAACACATGGATAAGAAGAGCCAACTGTGAAAGGAACATTAGTCTTCTCTTTTCAAATAACACTTGAAAGATTTTGTCTGTTTTTAATGTATAAAATTACTCTTAGTTTTCTTTCCATCTTGTCTAAAGAATTAATAAAGATTTCATGTGTGCAGGAAAAGCCAGTGATAACCTGATAATGCACCTAGTCTTCAGCCTTGGATGTGGTAAAGAGGGGCTCTCATTATACTTCTGGATGGCAGCTTGACCTTCATGTCCCCTTTTTAATTAAAAGGTTAAAAAATAAATGCTGAATTAAGTGGTATCTTTTTCTTTCAGATATTGAAGAACCTAAAAAGATGGATGTTGCTGAGTGTGGACCTGATGGGAGTTGAGGCTGCCTGGTATTTGATTATATATTATGTACATACTTTTTCATTCTTAACTTAGAAATACTTTTCAGATGATATAAAATATTTGTAAATTGTGTTTTTAATTAAACTTTGGAACAGTGAATTTTAATGTTCCAGAGGTTGGACTTGTATTAGGTAATAAAGTTGGACCTGGGACTCATCTTGGTGATATATACAAAAAGCCCTTGTAGGGAAGGAATGTGCTTGGGACTGTTGCCATACCTGGGCAGCATTCTTTAAAAATAGGGCCTGCCCATGCTTCTTCCTTCACAGACAGGACCATCACTAAGAAACGTTCTTAAAATGGCCCCATCCAGTGAGATTTTTCCATTATACAAACATGTTTAAAATAATTTTAGAATTTACTAGTGTGGTTCTGCCCCTGTGTGGGTAATTAGGCATCTCCCCTCCCCGCCGCCCCGCCAAAAGCACACTGGGAGTTTTATAGCACTGTCACATGGCTAGTGTTCTCCCTCACACCCCCATTTTTTAAACAATTACTTAGTACTATAGCAAAGTAATAACCCAAATAAGATCAACATCAGGGAATTACCAGATTACCAGAAGTTTACATTTGTATTTACTGTTTATCTGAAATACAAAGGTTTGTACCCAAGCAGTTGAACTCTTTAGGAGACCACAAAACATACCAGCAAGCTGAGATAAATGGTGATTTTTCTGAATCTGGTTCAGTATAGAACCTGTTATATAAAATAAGCAAGGGAAAAAAATCAGGATGGAGATAGGCTTGGCGATAGCCTTGTTCAGTGAACAAATTAAGGCCCTTATACAGTCCTTCTAAAAATCACCCAGGTAGGAAGCCATTTGATTTCCATTTTCCTGACTTTGAAAATTAATATTTAGGAAGAACAAGCAAGGAAAAGGAAAATTCCCTCAAAAGACTTAAAATCTTATGCTAAACGAGTCAAATTTTCAAGTCATTTTAGAGTCTACTTTTAATTTGTAGTGAGTTCCTGAGGACCAAGAAAATATTTAAATTTAAAATACCTTAGGACATTCGAGTTAACCAAATTGCTAATTTAATGTATAAAAAACAGCTAAACACTGGTACTTTATAAAAATGAAACAGCATTTTGAAACAAATGTTACAGATCTATATAAACATTCAATATACAGAAAAAACCCTAGTTATTTGCATGCACCACCTCAAATCATATTTCTTTACATTGACCTATTATATACACAGAGTATACAGTGGTTATCTTCTCTTCTGTTAGGAAATTTTCTCAAGCCAGAAAATTTCAGGTATTCTTTTCACCAGTTAACTCAGGAGAAATTGTAAGGAAGTCCTTGACCCATAAAGAGAAGGTCACTGTTAGAACAGGTACTTATTTCTGTCATGAAACAAAATGACACCAGTAAATAAATTACTTGGTAATTTAAAAACAGGTTCATAACAAGAAAATACTTGCAGGTGATTTTTATGGTCAGTTATACTCTATAATCTGAACGCTGAAAACTAAAAACTTACAAACTATTATTATCTGAGCATAAGTGCTTTAATTGGAAATAAAAATGCATGAATGGTAGTCAGTTACTTGTTAAACTCTCAACTGGGGTTTTTGTTATTGAAGAAAAAAGCAACTTAAATATTGCAAGAGTACAGATATGCTGACCTCAGAGAGGCCTAGTGCACTGATGTGTTTCCATGTTGTATTAGCAACAGAAAGCTTCCCGACTTCCCAGGAGATCCCCCACCAGGCAGCCCTGGTCACTGCGAGATCTTAAGAGCACAGATTTCAGTACAGTATTCAGATGAAACCAGCCCTTCATGTGAAAAGCTGGTGTGTAAAAAAGGCAGCTTAAGCGAGGCTTACTGCCCTTGCCAGCACTGTTGCCATGGAATTCCTTTATACAGCAAGTTCTTGCATTCATACTGATTCCAGTTACATGCAACACATCAGAGCTACAACTAGTCCTCCCAGCACCTTTGTGCAAATTAGAATATGCCTGCCCTTCCTCGGGCTGATAAAGCCACACATACACAGCACAGGTTGGCAGGTTCGATTTTCATCCCCTCCACTGCCACCCCCCAACTTGGCTGTACTCTAATTTGCAACCAGAAGGTAGCTCATCCCAGGACCCCAAGTCTGGTCAGTCTACCCAGTCTGCAACCCTGTATAATCTTGTAAAGGCTCCTGTATGCAAGACTTTCTGTATAACTTCAGGGAGTTATGGTAACTTCTAGCTAAGAATCCCTGCTATGTAAGGAAATTGAGTGCATTAGAAATCCTAGAGATGCTCTGGCGATGAGGCCACTGGTTAAGACTTCTGGTTACGAAGTCCGTTCGGAAAAAGGCACAGGCAGTTTGGTTATTTCTCACCCTGAAACCCTTAGGTTTACTTTTAGTTCCTTGGGGAGTTTGAAGCCCAGTAAGACACATCCCAAAAACCTGGCTTTTTGCATTTGCCTTGACTCATGTCGTTTCAGAACAAAACAGCTCAGCATTTGTGAGGGGCTGGCTTCCCAGATCCAGGAGCCTCTGCACGTACCCATGCTGAGTAGGTCCTTCTAGTTTGGAAGCTCTCCAGAGTTAGCTCTGAAGACTAAAGGAAAGACTCATCCACAGGTTGTCCAAGTTATTTCTAAACAGACTCCATTCCTTTCCAGTAAGAAAAGTAAGATACAGTTGAAGGATGGCAGGGGAGAAAGCAAAGATGAGTGAGTAGTTGAGGAAGAGCTGAAAGGCCGCATCTTACTTTCTAGGCATCTCTCTCCAGAATACTTGCCTCACGAGCAGCCTCATTCAAAGCCAAGGCTCCACTGCTCCCTCCCTTCTTGCCATGACCACATTCCTCAGGACTCAACCCCTACAGCCGGCTGACCCCATAAGCTGATGCTGGACAGTAGTCCTGCTTCATATCAGTGGTTAAAAATGCAGAGAATACACTGGAGGGAAGAGATTTTGTCTAGTGTCTAAAAAGTCATTCAGAGGATAAAACCCCCATTAATGTATCCATTTTAAACAAACATGCCAGACCAGGCAAAAAGTAACAGTGCTAATTATGGTGTGTTTCTCTCTACTGTTTGAAACTGTTTACAGATGTAAAACACCCCTTTCAGCTTCCTTTACCAGAATGCCTCTGTGAGAAACACTCTCATTGCCAGGCCCACCAGGAAGAGGGAGTCTCCAGTCCATACTAGACAGCTCAGCTTACTCCTCCTCGCTGTCTAGAAAGACAGACCACCTCACTTGTGCATGCTCACAGGCCACCAAGTTGGGCATCTGTTTTCATCATGTGCTCAAGTCGCCTCTGTAGCACCTCAGGGAACAAAGATCTCAGCCCTGAACCAGTGAACATTCTTCTGGAAGAGGGGACGTGGGCTTAAGAGCTAGACTGGAAGCTGTTAGACCAGGCACAGAGTTTCTGGTCGCCACTGCGCATTATGGCTCAGTGGCTGCTTCGAGCCAGAATCTGGTGCATGTGTCTAAGAAATCCTCCAGCACAGGTCCAAAGAAGCCAACATTCGCAGCCATCTGCCAGGAGGTAACCACACCCTCTGAGTGCCTTTGGGATTGGCATGGGGCGGAGTCTTCTGGCTTGCTTCAGGGAAGGAGATTGGCTTCCCAGACTGCTCAGAATCCAGCAGGAGCCCTCAGTTCAGCCCCAGCCCCTGAAACTTGGCAGTGTCCGTACAGACAAAATAAGTCCTCAGCTCGCCTTTACCTTTGACGTTGATCAGGCCACGGCATTCACATGAGTACCCGAGGCCCTGGAGGATGGTGCAGGTCTCCTCAGTAACCTGAAAAGGAAGAGAGACCTGTGTCTTCAGAGGTGGGAAGAACACCTGTCGTGGTAGGGGCAGATAGACTGGCCAGGCATGCAGTCTGCCTTCCCTGGAGAATGTGATAGCTAGAACCATGGCTGCCGGGTGGGACAGGAGCTCTTAAGCCCAAGTTCCCTCACCTCTGGGGAAGATCTTTTCCCCTCAGTCACCTGCTTCCCCGATGGGTCTTTACCTGGATTTTCCCAAGTTCTCCAGTGCTCTCCATTCGGCTGGCCACGTTGACCGTGTTTCCCCAGATGTCATACTGAGGTTTTCGGGCCCCTATCACTCCAGCAATCACAGGCCCATGGTTTATACCTGAAGATGATGTTTACAGTTGGCCAAGCATTCAGGCAAAGCCTCAGGCTTCTGCCCTCAGGGAAGGCCAGAGAATTCATCCCCCAGCACAGGACTCGGGACAAAACTAGAGTGAAGGCTAGGTTGCTTCCCAGAGTCACCATGATGCAGTCGGGCTTTGGGTGTGAGGAGGGCATTTCCTGGCCAGCTCTTTTTCAGACTCAGAAGCCACAAGTCTGGGTTTGATGTTAACACTTGTATCTGCTGATGTGCCTTTTAACAAGGGTCTGGCTTTGAGCGCAAGCCCACAGCTAGTTAGGTTTAGTAACTTTGCTTCTTTCTCTGTATTTTGCCTATTCACAGACAATAATATGTAACTACAGAAAACGGGAGAACCAAAACAGTGGATCACTTGAGAACCAAGGTTCTCCATTTTCTGTAAATATTATTAAAACTCAACGGTAACTATATGCTTATGCAAAATGTCAGAATAATTGTCCAATTACTGAGCTTGTCAGACAGGAGGGATTTCTAAAACCTTTCATAATGTTGAGGTGCAGCTGTGCCTCACAGACTGGGTGGGCCGGCCTGGAAGCAGGGGCTGCCTACCCACCCCCCAAGCCCGGGCTCACCAACGCGGAGGCGGAAGGAGTTGAAGGAGTGCCTGTTGATGCCGTCCAGCTTGCTCATCAAGGCGATGCTGAACTCCACCATGACACCAATGTGGGCATGCTGCCGCTCCAGCTCCTGCAGGATGGAGTGCGGGTCTTGCATCTCCAGAGCCCCCAACCTAGTGGGCACTGGCATGCCTCTCGTTGAGGATTCCCCACCACTAAAATCCTGGCTGAGCCTTGCAAGCATCTGCGCCCCTCCCTCAAGATGGGACAAGGATGCACCCCTTTAAGATGACAGGTCACCTTTAAGTGAGAACAGTCAGCTGAATTTCCCCTCTCCGGCTTAAGTACCTGGTTCTCGTGCCCCGAGGTGACGCTGAGCCCTGCAGCTGCCATGTATGTGCTGCCAATGGTCTTGATCTTCTCCACACCACTGAACTTGGGCTTCAGCAGGAGCTGCCAGTGAGAAGGAAGCAGTGAAGCAGCAAAGCAGCCCCGCCACTCCACAGCCACAGCCAGGCTGACCCCACTCCTCAGGAAGGGTGTGGGGTTCCCTCCACCCGCCCCTCTCGCACACGTCTCACTCTGCCCTGCCTGCTGAGCACAGTGAGGGGTGTGGCCCCTGGTGGCTCCTGCTCTTCCTGTCCTCTCCGTCCCCACTCTCCCTCTTCCCTTACATCCGGGTCTGCACAGAGCAGACACACCATTAGCTACACAGGAATGTGGATTCTTTGTCTCCAGCAAGAGTGCAACCCAAACTGATTTCCTCTGAATCGGCTTGGTTGATAGTGTGGGCTTAGCTGGAAATGAAGCTCTTCTAAAGGGCCTGAGTCTAAGCAAGCTGCCCGTCACAGAGAAGGTGCCAATGAAATATTTGCTGCATAAAACAGAATGAAAAAGAAATGGGTGCCCTTTATATTCTGTGTAATGTATTTTCAGAATATATTACAGGGAAGCAGTGTTGTTGTTGTTTGAGACAGAGTTGCACTTTGTTGCCCAGGCTGGAGTGCAGTGGTATGATCGAGGCCACACATCACCTGGGCATCCCCATGAAGCCAAGACCTGAGGAAGCCAAGCTCAGTGTGTACTCCAGCTCCACACCTAAACCCTGTGGACTGCGCCTGAACCTTCCACCTCTTTGGCCCGACCCAGCCCCTTCCGAGCACAACCTCCGTATCCCAGGTTCAAGCAATTCTCCTGCCCCAGCCTCCCAACTAGCTGGGATTACAGGCACGTACCACCAAGCCTGACTAATTTTTTGTATTTTCAGTAGAGATGAGGTTTCACCATGTTGGGCAGGCTGGTCTCAAACTCCTGACCTTAAGTGATCCACCCAACTGACCTCCCAAAGTACTGGGATTGCAGGTGTGAGCCACTGCACCCGGCTCTGTGTCGCATTTTTTAATGGGTTTATGATGGCAGGTACTGCTGCCTTGCCCTCCTCAGCACGGGTGGGGCTACCGCATAGGGCTGGGCTGGAGGCTGTACCTCATCAAAGTCGGCAATGATCTCGTTGAGCAGGCGGAGGCACTCCAGACCTTCTTTGTTGACGTCGCACTCTGTGTAGAACACTTTGAAGTCTGGCACAGAGGCGAACATGACACAGACGCAGTCATACGACTGATGGTACCAGTCCTAGATGGGAAGAAACGAGCCCTTACGCCACGTTACCTCTTGAGGGGAGGGGAAGAGTGGCAAGGCCTCAGGAGCAGATGACACTGAACTGCCCAGCCCAGCGTTTGGGCTGGGGGCTGCATGAGGTTCATCTGGCTGCCGTTACAGAGCAATTCAGAATCGGGTGGCCAGGGAGGATTAGGCTCTGGTTGGTGTTTTGCTCACAGAAGCACCTTGGGTGTTTCCATGTACACACAGGGTGAGAACCTCTGCAGTAGTGGAAGGTGGCAGCTGGGAGTTCTGCGTTCTCACTGGGCCTCAGTCTCCTATATAGAAAACTTGCTACCCAGAACTGGTGGAAGCATAGACATTTTCATCAATACAGAATGTCCAGATCACAAACCCCTGAACACACATTTTATCCTCACCACAATCCTATGGGGAAGTGCTGTCAGCCCGTTTTACAGAGGTGAAGACCAAGGCCTGGGAAAGCAAGGTACCTTGTCTGCAACCACACTCGAGCCCAGTTTCCTGACCCCAGGCCTGTGCTCTCACAGCTGATGCCACACATCACCTGGGCATCCTGGTGAGGCCAAGACCTGAGGATGCCAGCTCCACACCTAAACCCTACAGACTGTGCCTGGACCTTCTGCTGCTTTGCCCCTTCCCAGCACACCTCATTTAACTTGTCACCAATGAAGTGGGCGGCCACATGGGCTGGCAGGACGTTCTCCAGAAGAAGGCGATTCACGTTCTCCATGGTCTCAAACTCCTCGTGCTCCTTCTTGAACTTCTTCTTCCATAGGCAGTCCAAGCGGCAGTAATAGTCAATCTGCAAATGGTGGGTACATAAGTACCCCGTCTGCAGGCGAGCGGGGCCAGGCTGGCATGCATCTCCTGCCAGGTCTGTCTGTTCCTGGCGTCCTTGGAGCCTCTGGCCAGGGAACCAGCACTTTCCTGGCAGGACTCTGGTCTCTGCTCCTCCACATAAGCCCACCCCACCTCATCTCCAGGTGGAGGTGAGGACAAGCTGGGGCAGGGGTGGAGGGGTAGCCTCCATACCTGTCTGGAGAGCGTGAGCAGGGTGATGTAGAACAGGACCAGGTAGAAATTGATCATGGTCTTCAGGTCCCTCCAGGAACAGCTAGGGGTGCCGCTGGATGTGAAGGGAGGTCCGAGTCACTCCCAGCACTCACCGCCCCAACCCACCGAAGGAGTCATGCTCTCCAGGTGCCACGTGTACCCAGGGTGAAAGGGGAAAATTGATTCTAACGGGGTGGGTAGAAAACAAGACAACTTCAGGTTATAAAGGGAGGAGGGGTGAGGTGAGCCAGGAGGTGGGGGAGCCCTCACAGAGGTGACTTCTGATATCTCACCCCTGGATGACCAGAATCAGCCATGATGGCCCGGAGGGAGCCCAGAGCTCCTGGTGAGCCAGGGTCGGTGGCAGGCAGGGTGGGGTGGATGGGTTGCGTAAGAATTCTGCAGGTGTAGGGAAGACCCACAGGGGCAGATTCTGTTCTGGGTCCCCAGGCTTCCAGCTTTTTTGTTTGGGGGGTAGGGGGCAGGTCCTCTCCTTAATCCAGTTGGGACCCAGAGCCCCTAAAACCACACACCCCAGCCTTGCCCAAGCCTCAGGTATCACCACCTGTCCAGGAAGAGACGGAAGCAACTGCTCCTTTCAGAACTTGAGACCCAGGATGTGGCCCTGAGAGGCACAGAGCTAGATAGAGCTGCAGCCCCCCTCCTTCCCCACCACTAGACTGGCCTGGAAAGAGGATGATGCTGTGGCCTCTGTCAGACCAGGGACTTCCTAAAGAACCTGCCAGTGAGTTGAATTCCTCAGCTCTGAGCGCTGGAGATCTGGGACCTGGGCAAGCCTCAGTCCCTATTGTGAGATGAAAGCCAGGCTATCTGCCACCCCCACCCCAAAAGGTGCCCACTCCCCATGAACACAGAAGCCCCTTGGTGTGAGCAGATACCAGATGAACAGGCCACCATGGGGATGGGGACAGGGGTGGGGCCCCACCTGGTGGTGCTGTTGGGCTCGGTGAGGTTGCCCAGGCCTTGGCTGGAGCAGTCCCACTGCCAGCACGGGGAGAGGTTGAAGAGCACCAGGTAGGCTATCAGGGCCACTGTCAGCAGCACAACCTTTGGCTCCAGGCTCATCCGCAGGAAGACGGAGCAGGCGATGAAGCCCAGGATGCAGCTGCAGGTGTAGTACTGGGTGGGGGTGGGGGGGGTCACTCAGGACAGGGCCATCCCACCACCGCCTCAGGCCCAGCACATACCCGAGCCCCATCCCCCATTGCCTCAGCATCGCACTCTCGCCTTGCTGCCTCCCTTCTCAGCAAAAAACAAGACCTAAGAGTTTCCAGTGTTGTGTTGTTTTCACAACACTGTGTAGTTTTATATGAAGTGAGTTCATTTAAAGGGAAAAAAACACAGTATGCAGGTGCCGTGGATATGACAGACCATGGTCAACGTCAAGGCTAGAACATGCATGCATCCAAGCTGCCTCCCTGAGTTTTTGTGAGCTTGCCCTTTCAAAGCACCTCTGCCCTGCTCAAGATGGTGCTGTAGCTCCCCAGATCCTAAAGACCACGCTCTTCACCCCGGCATTCCTGAATCCCCCAGTCGATCAAGCCTGCCCCTGGCTCCATCTCCCAGTTCTCCCTTACTCCCTCCCCAGGGCAACCCACCCAAAACCCCAACACATGCCTCAGCTTTTTCCCACACCGTCCCCTGTCCCCTGTCTCAGAACCTTTCTTCCCTTTAGGGCCAAGCTCACTGCACCGCCCTCCCTGAAGCTGCAGAGGCTGCTGTCTGTGAGGCCCTCCAGGCCCCACGGCCTGCCTAGGCCTGTCCTGGCGCCACCACCTAATGAAGCACCTTCCTGAGTTGCACATACTCGTGGATAAAACAGCCACAGGCCTGCCACAGAGGAAGTGCCCTGACTGGGAGCCCCCGACAAGGCCAGCAGATGCTCTCCTCACTCCCTGCCTGCCCACAACGCCTAGACCAAGCCTGCCCAGGCCTGGACTGCTCCACACTCCCAACTCTGCCCATTGGGCCCTGCTTTCCCAGCTCTGTAGGAGAGGCCAGGCTCAGCCTCCACATGCTGTGCTCTCAGGGACTCAGCACCCATACTTTGAGGGTCCCAACTACACCCCTGGCAGCCGCAGCCCCACTCTGAGTGAGGCCACGAAGCCAGGCCTGGCGCACTCACCGGGAGGGGCTCACACAGGGCCCTTGCCTTGCTGCTCATGGCCAGCAGGCCTGTCTCGTTGCCGAAAGGCAGCTCTGGGACTGGGAAAGGCATCAGGGGCTGCAGAGGAGACAGGTCCCCATCAGAGCTGGTCCAGGGACGGCTGCCCAGGACAAGCAAGGTGGCCCCCAGGCAATCGTGAGTATTGCAGCAGCCTGAGGTTTCATGATGGGGTCAGCTCTGAGCACAGCAGCCATCAGGTTCAGAGTACAGAGGGGCTGGGGGATGAGGGCACAGTCACCCCCAGAGCGGCAGCGGCCAGGGGATGGGACCAGCATTTTCAACCTTCTCCCTAGGTGACCCTAGGGAAGTGGTCACAGGAACACATTCCAAAAACCCAGGGTCCAGGGCGCAGAGGTGAGGGAGAGGCCATGGCCGGGATGCAGGGTCTGGGAGGGAGGTGGACAAGTGTCCCACAGGCTGCTTTCTGCAGCACTGAACCTCTGAGCACCAGCAGAGGAGTAGGGCTCATCTCGAGAGGGGAAACTGAGTCTCAGAAGGAAAGGCAGAGTCACTTCATGGCCATGAAGAATGAATGGGGTGTCAGGATGTGGTGGCTCAAGGCATCGCATCTTCCTGGGGCTGGCCACACAAGCTTTCTGGGTCCCCAAAGTCCTCTTGAAAACCCAAAGGTGAGGAGCCCTGAGTCTGCAAAAGGGAACCCCACAGGGCTACCCACTGAGCTTGTGGGAGAGGTAAACCCGAGGCAGCTTTTAAGGCCACATTGTAGGTGTCCCAAATCTAGACGTCCCCCTCTACCCAGGAGGCCTGCCTCCCCATCCCAGGACCCACCAGGTTGACAATGGCCACGGTGAGCAGGCTGCCGATGGTCAGGACAGCCAGGGTCAGCCTCAGCAGGGGCTGCATCTCCACCCTCTCGGAGATAGTGCGGAGTATCCCCTGGGCTGGGCAGCACCTCTGTGGAGTAATGGGGTTGAGTCACCCAGAGCCAACAGGCTGGACAAGGAGGGCTAGCCACTGGCAGCCTGGGGAGGGGTACCCTCAGGAGAAGCCTCCAGGGCACTCAGGAAATTTTCCCCGAAGCAGGAGTAATGGGCACCTAGCCTTGACCTCAGCCCAGCCAAGCTTACCAGGGAGGGCTCTTGGGCAGGTGTCCTGAGGCAGGAAGGGAGGGGCCACGGGGTTAGGGCTCCCCACTTACCAAGAACTCGGTGGCAAAGCAGAGGCCCAGCACCAGCCCCAGCACACAGGCCACCAGCCCGAAGGACACACCCAGCACCACCGTCCTAGAGAGGAGGGAAGAACCTAGGTTCTGCCTAGGGCCTTCTGCTCAGGAACCCTGCCCCTGCCAATCCTCCAGCTGACAGCCCCCTGTCCCTGCCCCACCTGCTATTCTCCCCACAGCAAAGGGGACCTGTGGAAACTGTGGCCCTGCTGCCACATGGGCAACACACAGGGCCCGGCCAGATCATGAAGACTGAGGTCAAGACCATGTCACTCTTTTTGGTCCAAGTATATAAAAAATGAGCAATATCTTTGCAGCCTTTAGACTCAGAAAAACTGTAAAAACATGTTCCCGTTTTTACTATTATTTTTTAGACAGGGTCTCACTCTGTCGCCCAGGCTGGAGTGCAGTGGCACAGTCTCGGCTCACTGCAACCTCCACTTCCTGGGTTCCAGTGATTCTCCTGCCTCAGCCTCCTAAGGAGCTGGGATTACAGGCGTGCACTATCATGCCTGACTAATTTTTTAATTTTTAGTAGAGATGGGGTTTCACCATGTTGACCAGGCTGGTCTTGAACCCCTGAACTCAAGTGATTTGCCCTTCGGTCTCCCAAAGTGCTGGGATTACAGGTGTGAGCCACCGCACCCCACCTCCCTATTATGTCTTCATTAAGCATATCCAAAATCACAATCCTGGTCTATGCTTCGGCCTAACTGCTCTTCTAGAAACCAAGTAGCTGACCTCAGATCCCTTCCCTCCGACTTCGCCCTCATTCCTGTACCCCACCCAGCAGGGACCTAGAGCCAGAAGCGTGAATCTCAGTGACTTCTGGATAAATCATTAGCCCTCTGCATCTCCATGTCCCTGCGTATAAGAAAGGATAGTGCCTAAAGTTTTCAGAGTCTGCTCTCCTAGCACTCCAAACACCTAAGGCAAGGGCTGACAAGCAAAATGCCTGCAGGCCACACGTAAAACAGGTGACTGAAAAGAGAGACATTAGGGAGTAGGGAGGCCTGTGGCAGAAAACACACATTCTATTAAAAAGAAGTGCTGGTAACTCAAGGTGTGCAGCCACCGAGTCCAGTTTCTCAGACTCCAGCAGCCGATCCCTTCCAGCCCAAATCACACAGCTCCTTGCAGGTTCTCTGGTGGGTCTTGCCACAGTCACCTTCCAGCCTGGATCCCAGCAGGCTGGACCCCCACACCCCCAATCCAACTGACCTGGGCATGAGGAGGACATGGACAAGCAGAATGCAGATGAAGATCAGGCTGGCGCAGGCGAAGTGGTGGCGGGCCCGGGGGATGGGCGCCAGGCGGTACTGGGGACAACAGGGTCTGTGAGGTGTGGCCACCTGCGGAGCCACTTGCCCACCCGGCTCCAGTGAACCAGCCTTAAAAAAACACCTCCTCACTGGGACAGTGGCTCATGCTTGTAATCCCAGCACTTTGGGAGGCCAAGGCAGGAGGATCACTTGAGCCCAGAAGTTTGAGACCAGCCTGGGCAAAATAGTGAGACCCCATCTCTAGTTTAAAAAGTAATTAATTAATTAAAACCCTCCCACCATCCTGGAGTTCCAGGCGATATTATACTTGGTAAGTTTTGTTTGTTTCCAATCGCAGCTCTTCCTATTTGAAGATAATGTCTTCCCCTCCCCTACGCCACCCGAGTCGCTCTTTCCAAGGTCCCTGCAGAGCTCATGGCCCCAGGTACATGGACAGGAGCCAAGTCTGAGACCGGAGGTTGTCTTCACCCCAACCCAAGGAGCTGGCAGGTGGGGAGACTCCCATGCCACAGCCCCCACCACCCAGGTGCCATTGCGGGATCACAGCCCCGGGAGGGTTTCTGCTGCAGGGAAGGAAAGCACTCTTGGCTCCCCAGCCACACAGCCTGCAGCGTCACTTCAGCCAGTGAGGCCCGCCAGGCACATTTTCTGGTGACCTCACTGAGGAAGCCCCCAACTCGAGGAGCCCCAAAAGAGGGAATCCCCCCATTCCTGGACTCTAAGCACCATTTCCTCGGGCTGAGGGAGAGGAGCCCCCCTGGAGCAATGAGGGCCAGGTCTGTCCTCTCTTACAGGCCACACCTGCAGCTGGGACAGGCTCTGGAGCCTCTGAGCCAGGTTCCTGTCTGTGAAGTGGTAGAGCAGCACCCCTGGGTCGGTGAGGGTTAAATCATATAATGTGGGTGCCAAGGACGCTGCCAGAACCCAGAAGGCACTCAGTAAAGAAATGGTCATTTTCAGTACAAAAGGCCCGTAGCAGCAAGACAGGACACTGACAACTGAGTTTTGGGGTCTCGTCTCATTGCAAGGCCAGTGCCATCCATGCCAGGATCTGCTAAGGCTCTGGCACTGGATGGAGCAAAAGTGTTGCAGACCTATGGTGGCAAATCTCTGGTGGGACATTCGGGTCACAGAATGAGGCCGGCAGGAAACTGAGCCAGGCTGGCCCCACCCCCGCCCAGGAGCAGCTGTGGATTCTCCATGGCCCTCCCCAAGCCAGTCTTGGGAGTGCAGGCTGCCCTGTGATCTCCTTCCCCCACCCCACCCCAGGCCTGGAGACCCCACCCCTCTAGGGGGAAGGCGGCTGGGCCCTCACCTCGCGCTCAAAGCCCTTCTCCAGGAAGATGGACCCAAAGGTGTAGAAGTCGTCAGACTTGGAGCAGCAGGGCCTGTGGGTAGGGCCCTCGGCAGTGAGATGGGGCTGGGAGGGGGTCCAGTCCCTCGGGAGGCAGCAGCAGACACAGGGAAGGAACAGGGCTGGGCCATTGGGCATGAGGCACAAGGTGGGCCTGCCCGTATGGGGAACCCCTGTCAAAGGGGGAGAGGTGAGGGGTGGGCAGAGGTTTCAGGCCTCACCTCGTGGAGCTGAGCCCCTCGATGGCTGACAGCATCTCGTCATACGAGTCGTCCTCCAACCGCCCCCTGGGGGACATGCTCCTGGAATTAGATAACCCCAGCTGCATCAGCGCAGAGACCACCTCCAACTCTCCCAGAGGAGGGTGTGGACATGGACACCAGTGGATTTCCAGAACCTCATGTGGGATGGTGAAGGAATAGGTGGGACCCACTGAGGCCCAGAGAGTGCAAGTGAGGACCTAGCATGGCCCAGCTGGCCAGCAGCCCAGCCAGAGGCAGAGGGCAGACTCAAGCCCCAGTCCAAGGCATATTTGGCTATACCCCAAGATTGACATGGGGACCAGAACACCCACTGGCATCTCCTTCCCTCCCACTGACTCCACTGACCCCACCAGGGCAGCACACAACAGGTGCTCCATCATGGCCATGTGGAAGAGCCAGGGACCAGGAAGCTCTGGTTCCTAGAAACGCTTTGACCCCAGCCCTGGCCAACTTCACAGAGGTCCTGGGTTGGGCCTCGCAGAGCTGCCCACTGAACAGAGGCTGGTCAGGACAGCCTGCCTGGAGGAGGTGGCTGCAGCAGGACTTGGCCAAGAGGGCAGAGCACGCACCTGTCAGGGGTCCGGCGGTGGCGATGGGGAATGCTCTGAAAGGGAAGGTGGGAGAAGACACAGTCATTCCCCAGAACGACAGACTCTAAGGCCCACCGCTGGGCCGGGTGCAGCCCCTCCAACACTTGATACACAGGACAAGGTGTCAGGGATCATCCAAGCCACAGACATCCTGACTACAGCTGAGCATGGTCCAGGCACCAAGGAGGACAGGGACGTTCCTGGCCACCCTGGCGTATTCTCCAAATGCCTTTGTTTCCCCTCCAGCCCCAGGAGGTGGGGCAGAGGCTGTGGCCATTTTACAGCTGGGGACAGTGAGGCGGACAGGGTGAGAGATCTTCAGCACCCACTCTCCTGCCCCCAGCTTGGGGCCCCAATCCCTGGCTCTCTGGGTGGAAGGGGGACCTACCTTGGGCTTCTGCCCATTAGGGACAGGGGTCTCGCCACTGCTCACACTCTCACGATGGTTGAGGTGCGCAAAGGGCCGAGCTGCCCCCCAGGACTCGAGGTAGCGGGTCATGCGCACTGACGCCCGCATCTTCAGGGCCGCGTCCCCCTTGGACCTGGGGGGCTGTTGCCTCGGCGGGGGTGGCTGCTGGCTCTGCGGGCAGACACAGACATGGGCCTATGCCACCCCCTCTCCAGGAAGGGGCCGCCACTGCCAACTGACTCTCCCTGAAGTGTGACGCCACCCTCAGCAGTGGCTGATCCCGTGAAAAAATGTCAAAGAAGTTGCTCAACCTGCAGTGCCCTTGGAGAATGGGCTGCCTTTGGGCTGGAAGGCCAAAGCCCAGTGCACTCTGAGGCCAGGCCATACGGGATCCCAGCTTAGTGCTCTGGCCCTGCCCCAGGCTGAGAAGAGGCTGGCAGGTACCCACCACCATACCCAGCCCAACCCCCTGCTCTGCCTTCCCAGGGAGAGATGCAGGGCTCAGGTCCCAAGCCCGAGGCACCATGGCCCTTAAGGCTCCTTGGAACGAGAGAGTCCCTGGGGCCTGAGCACCCATCAGCCCCTCCCCAGGAGGCACCTGGGAAAGCCACAGGCATCCTACCCCGCCCTCCCACATATGGCCGGCGCGCACTAGCTCCTTCCTGTGGGAAGCAACCAGGAGGAAGAGGGGTGCTGACTGCCTTGAGAAGTAGCCAAGCCAGAGCAAGCCAACCCCCAGGGCAGTGATCCAGGGAGTTCCACTTTTGTGTCTCCCAACCACAGATGGCACAGGGCCATGACCTGCCATGTGCCTGCGAGACCCAGCCTCATGCCAGACCTCAGTGGCTCAGCCAGGCTGTGAATGCATGGCCAGCCCTGCCTCACCGCCTCATGTCACAGACCTGAGACTCGCCCTCCCCTGCAAGAGCACACACCTGAGGCCTTCCCCAGTTGGAGTGGCCAGGCAAAACTGGGAAAGAGGTAAGGAAGAGAAAGGCCTGCAAGGCTGCCAGAGATGAGCTAAAGCTGGCTCCAGGTCTGCTGGGTCTCTCCTCAGCCCCCGAAACATTCCCCTGTCTCCTGGGGCCCCGCAAACACCCAGTGGATGAGCCTCCACAGCTACAGACACTTGCTAAGCCACAGCACAACTTTCCTGGAAACCTCGCCACCTTCTGGGACAGACATATTTTTAGGCTCTTAGCCATGCCTATCTCCCTAGCCACAGGAGCCATGTGGAATTCGGCCCTGGCGAGTATCCCAGAGTAGGAAGAGCGTGCTGGCCCTGCGGTGAGCAACCTGGTGGGCATGGGTGCATTTCTACGTCCCTCCTCCACCATGGCAACTCTGCCTACACAGCACCCAGCCATTCAAGTTCAAGGCCACTGGCACTTCTCTTATAGCAGGGAAACCAGACACCCCACCTCCTAAGAAACAAATAAAAAGCAGAAATAAGTAAAAAATCAGATTCCTCAGTTCTGAGCAAACATCTGCCTGCTCAGAATGGGCATGGCATCAGTATGAGCTCCATGGGGCACCTGCAGCCACCATCCAGTCCACGGGAGCCCGCCCTGCCCCAGCCAGGCCACGCAGCAAGAGCATGAGACAGAGCCCATGGAAGCCAGTGCAGAAAATCCACCTCCACATCAAAAACAGGAGCTACAGATGAGCACCTTGCACACAGTAGGGACATCCCCAAGGTAGGAGAAATGCAGGGTGCACAACCATGGGGCTTGCGACCACCACCTTAGCAAGAAGGGTGGGGGACTCACAATTTACTCTCTGCATGAAAATCCCTGTGGGAACACAAGAAACTCGCTGCATACCCCTCCTCTGAGGAGATGGGCTGGCTGGGGACAAGGAGTCTTTCTACAACCCGCCCTTCACACCTTTTGAACTTTCAACCACCTGAATGAATAAAGTTAAGCAAAAAAAAAGAGTGGGGTAGGGTGGGGTGGGGAAACGGTGGAGCTACCAGATAAATATAACTGCGCAGTTGAGTAGTGCATGGACACTCACGCAAGAAACAGGATTCACGCTTATCTGAAATTCAAGTCTGCCAGACGGCCTGCAGCTTTCCCTGCTCAACCTGGCAGCCTGCGTGGGTGGCTTTCAGAGCCTCCTGGGTGAGGGGCTCTGCTTCATTCATGTAAGGGCTGTTCTGAGCATCGGCTTCGAGCCAGACACCCATCTCAGCACGGGGTCAGGGTTGTGGCCTGAAGAGGAGGAGCCCACCGCATGGCGCTCAGGCTGACAACAGGCAAGGAAAACGGATAAACAAACAAGGGCATTAGGGATGGAGGGAGGAGTGTTCTGGGTGCAGGGACCTGCAGGCAGCCACCAGCCTGGCAGTGGAAGGGCAGGAGGGGACCGGATGGGGTGACGGGACAGGAGATCAGTGAAAGGGCCTGGAGGGGTGGGGCCAGGGCCGGCATGCAGGTGAGGTTCAGGGCCCTGTTCTAGGTGGGTGCTGGAGCAGGACATGGGTACCGGGTACGGTTTTCCCAGACGCTGGCTCAGTACGGATGGCACGGCACCAGAGGCCTTGACGGCCGAGTGAGGCCAGCAGATGCGTAGGGAGGCTCACAGGCCAGCCCTTGGCCACCCCCCCGCCCCCAGGTTCTAGCACTCGGGCCAGCCCCAAGGCACAGCCAGGACCAGAGTGAGAAGCCACTCGCAGCCAGCTGGGCCGACATTCTTGAGCAAGCCATGAGGATGATTCACAGAGCGGTAGCCAGACACGCCAGCCTCCCTCGAGCAGGCCAGGGGCAGGCAGCAGACGGGCCAGGGTGGGCCCCACCTGGACAAAGGCAGTGGAACTGCCTCCCCCAGCGTGGGGTCCTGGAGCACCATGGGGACTGTGGTCAGAGCCCAGGACACACAGTGGCTCCTGCCCAGTGGCCCCCGAGCCACTCTTGGCTTTCTTGAGTCTCATCCAAAGTATGTTTCGAAAGTGTGTCTCTTGGAAATGTGGGAGATTAGTAACCACCTCATGGAAAATAAACCTAGAGTGACGATAACTCATAGAATGCGGTGACGTGCCAGGCGCCACAGGGCCTCACTTGGATCAGCTCCTCCTGGTGGGGCAGGCCTTGTTTTCCATCACATGGAAAAGAATGGAGGCCTGAGGAGAGGCTACTCAGCACCTAGAAGGTGCCCAGGAACAGGGAGCTCACTCCTGCAGGGGCAGGGCCCTTCCCCACCTCTCCCTCCATGGGGGTCTCCCCCGAGGTGTGGGCCGCGCGCCCCAGGGCCTCTCCAGTCCCTCTGGGTCCCCCCAGCTGCGGCCTCCGAGCCCTCATACCCGGGGGTCGATGACCAGGTAGGTGCGGATGTTCATCTCCTTGAGGTAGGGGTCCCGCTGCTGCCCGTGCCCATCCTCCACCTCATACGCCTTGTCCAGGTGCTTCAGTGTTGCCTCCGTGATGTGCACCCGGCTGCGGAAGACTCAAGTCAGGCAGAGCCTTGAGGCCCAGAGAAGGCTGGCACCCACCAGGGGTGCACAGCAGCCAGGTCCGGGCCCCAGGCTAGCTTTTCTGCATTCAGCCCTCCCCCACACCTGACCCCACCCAGACCCCTCAGTTCACAGCCAGCCCAGGCCTCTGGCCCTGCCATTGCCCAGCCCAGCCTCACCCGGGGACTCCGGCTGCCTCCATCCGGTTGGCCAGGGACACGTCATGGGACCACACGTCATACTGCCACTTGCGCAGCCCGATGACCCCGCACAGCACATTCCCAGAGTGTATGCCCACACGCATGTTGATGTCCACGCCTGTGGCCTCCCGCACCTGCCTGGAGCAGAGTGGCCCAGTCACCTGGCCCTGCCTAAGCCCTGGGACAGGCTGAAGATCTGAGGTGTGGGGTGGATACAGGACAGGATGTGGGAACAGGGCAGGCTCAGCCCACAGAGAGAATGTTCTCAGCCTGATGGGGCTGTCTCTTCAGAAGGATCTGAGCACCCCATCCCCAGGAGCATACAAGTGGCTGTGGCCACACCTGAGCTCAAGGGCTAGGTAGGAAGGAGGAGGAATTCCAACTAGTCACTATAGCCCATGATGATGGGCCTAAAACACATGCAGCAGCACTGGCTGGGTTTTAAAAGTTTCCTGGGGGCCAGGCACGGTGGCTCACACCTGTAATCCCAGAACTTTGGGAGGCCGAGGTGGAAGAATCACTTGAGGTCAGAAGTTCAAGACCAGCCTGGCCAATATGGTGAAACCCTGTCTCTACTAAAAATACAGAATTAGCCATGCATGGTGGCACATGCCTGTAATCCCAGCTACTCAGGAGGCTGAGGCAGGAGAATCAATTGAACCCAGGAGACCGAGGTTGCAGTGAACCAAGATGCACCACTGCACTCCAGCCTGGGCAACAGAGCAAGGCTCTGTCTCAAATAAATAAATAAATACATTATTGGGGTGCCGTTTATGCCCCCCAATCCCTGGGAAGCAGGGCCCTGGGAGTCATTGGCACCATTGAGTATGGGAGCAGAGCCCCATGGGAGAGTTTCCCTGGGGTACAGGAGACCCCCAAGACAGGAACAGAGCCTGAGTCCCCATAACAAGCAGCACCACGTGTCAAGCAGCACCACGTGTCCACCAGCAAGGCTGGGCACTGACCAAGCCTTCTGGAGTCAGAGCCAGAAGTGCATGGGGGCCTGTGCAACCTCTGCCGGTTACAGGGCGGGGGGCCAGCCTGAAATCACACAGGCAGTGGAGCAGGGCCAGGCCCCTACAGCTCTGCCCAGGCTTCTTCCTGGCAATACCAGCAACCTAACCTGAAGCAGAACTTCAGGAGGAAGGACAGGCTGGAGCAGGGACTTAGGCTGGGGACGGGCAGCCCCGCCAGGCCCTGCTCTGCCCCACAGTGGTCACCTTGGCTGGGCCTGCCTGGCCCTCTCCCCATTCAGCCCTCTCAGCAAGCTCCTCCCACAGACCCCAGCTGCTCAGAGCCACAGGGGACCTCAAGGGGAGCTGGGTGCCATCAGGAAGGAGCCTCCAGAGCTGGGTACCCTCAGGACCAGGCCTGACTCCAGGATCTTCACAGGGGGAGCAGGAAGCAGATGGAGCCATGCAGTCGGCCCCTGGGTCCGAAAGGTCCCCCAGCTGCCTGTCCTGAAGTCTCCTGCTGTTGCTAAGACCCCATCCCTGAGAGGAGCGGAGCCCACTGCCCTGACCTCATGTCACCCAGCTCTGAGTTCTGGAGACGCTCTCTGGGATTCAGAGTCACAGGCAGCCCCCAGAGGGAGGGAAGCAAACTGATGAGGTCCGAATCCTCCAGCAGGCTGGGTGGTCCAGGCAAGCTGCTTTCAACCCCCGAACCTCAGTTTCCCTATCTGTGAAATGGTAATGACTCAACCCCTATGGGTCTGCCACGGGGCAGGACCCAGTGCCTGGGACCACCCGGGACCTACTTAATGGCCTCGCACATGTCCAGCCCCATCTTCACGCAGTTCCGGGCGTGGGTGGGCAGCGACACAGGCAGGCCTGACACACAGTAGTAGCAGTCGCCGAGGATCTTGATCCGCATGCACTCGTTGGCCTGCAGGATGAGGGGGGCCTGGTCACGGGAAGGTCTGGGGCTGAGACCTCTCAGCCACCTCCCCTACCCTCCAGGGTGCGCCTGGCTCTCTCCTGGCTGGGGGCTGCCTCCTGGCGTCCAGCCACCAAGAGCCACTTCTGGGCCTGGCAAAAGGCTTAGTGACATCGGGGACTTCCCGGGAGGAGCCCCCAAGCAGGCACCAGGGGTGAACACAAATGTTCCTAAGGGCCTCGGGGAGGGCTCTGCCTTGGTTTCGTTTGCCCAGGTAATGTTTGAGTACCTACTGAGTACCCAGCCCTGGGTTGAGCAAGGAGACAGAGCAGTGAACAAAACAGATGCAAATCCCTACAGCCACAGAGCTCACACGCAGGCAGGAGGGATGGACGCTAAACTAGAAAAACAGAAACACAACAGTGCACTTAGCACCAGCAGTGGTGGGTGCTAAGAAGAAAACCAAGGCACAGGAGGGAGGTGACGTGCCCAGGAGGCCAGCGAAGACCTCTCAGGAGGAATCAGAAGCATTAGAGCTAAGACCCCGAGAAACAGAGAGAGCCAGCCGTGCCAGTCTCTGCAGGAAGAATGCTCAGGCACCCACAGGACCCCTGGGGCCACACAGCTGGGAAGAGACTGCGAGGCAGCCGGGAGGCTGCAGAGGAGTGGAGGACAAGGACTGAGGCTGCAGGTGCGCACACCAAGGGGTCGGCAGGTGTCAAGGTCACCCAAGCAGTGGCTATGCTGCCAGGGCTTAGTAGGGAGGAAAGATATCGATACAGAGAGGAAAGATAGGGATGGGGAGGGAGAAGACGGAGAGGGGCAAGACCAGAGACTCCTAGGAAAAGGCCCAGGGATGGAAGGGGACCCCCGTGGGCCCTCTGAGGTTCATCTTAGGCAGTGCTGCGTCACCAAATCCTCCTTAAGCCCTCAGCAGGGGTGGCCACACGCACTGAGGCCCCATGGGCGGGCCTTTAGGGGAACTGAAGAAGGAGCGACATACAGGACATCTACCTCTGCCCTCCCGTCCCCACCCTTTACCCTGCTCAGCCGACCGCCATGGACTGGACACATCAGCAGGTGGCCTTGCGCTCTGGCGTCTGGTAAGGAGGGAGCTAAGAGGGCTCCATCCTACAGGGTCACGAGGGCTAGCCCTGCTCCTGGAACACCATCTGTCTCCAGGTCTCCAGCCCATCCTGTCCTCGTCCCCACTCCGTGCCCATCAGCCATCATGGACCCAGGCCCCAGACACAGCACCAGCCCTGCCTCCAGGTCCCCTGTACCCGCCCAGTCTGGGAACTGTCCCTGGCCTGCACCCTCCTCCAATTACTCAGTTTGAGTGTGTGCCAGATGTTTCCTGCCCGGCCCCATCTGGCACATGCTGAATGAGTGACTGCAGGGACATGAGGACAGCGGCTTTACTAGAAAGCAGGCAACCTTGGCAGACCTGGATGCTAGGCGCTGACTCAGGACTCTGGCTAACCTGATCTCCTCTCAAACCAGGCACCAGACTGCCCGTGGACCCAGCCCAGCTCTGAGATGTAGGGGAGGCCACATTCCCCAGACTGCAAGCCAGCTGATGGTCCCCTGGGTCTCTGACACTTGGAGTTGGGGAGCTGGGTCCTGCGCTGAGGTGCAACATGTACACCTCTGAGACAGGGGGCCTTGGCTCTTGGAAAGAGCTTACACTTCTGGAATCTGATTGTTGATAGGAGAAAAGGCTTCGATCAGCCCTGCCTGGCTCTGCCCAGAGATTAGACACTCGGATCGGGAAGCCTGCATCTGCAATGGCCTCCCTTTCCCCATCTGTGCAATAGGGCCATGCCTCCCAGGCCTGCTGGGGACGGAAAACTGTGTCCAAGAGGCAAGGGACCCTCTGTGTTGGCTTTAAGGTAAGGAAAGGGCCAGCTGTAGCCCAAGCCCTATAGGTTCCAGGCTAGACAGGCCCTCTGAGTCACTCAGTCCACAATGCCCAGGATGGGACAGTTCTCCAGAGCATCCCTGACCAGTGTGATCCTATAGCAGCTTGGTTACCCCTGCGACAGGGAGCTCCCCTCCAGTCCCTCCTAGGATCAAGCAGCTCTGATCATGAAAAATTCTTCCCAGCGTGAAGCCATAACTTGCCTCCCATCAAGTTCTAGAACATTGATTTTCTGCACACAGAGTCATTGGTGCAGGAGGAAGCTCTTAATAATTCTAATGGGGCCGGGTGTGATGGTGCATGCCTGTAATCCTAGCACCTTGGGAGGCTGGGTGGATCACTTGAGCCTAGGAATTCAAGACCAGCCTGGACAACATAGCAAAACCCCATCCCCACAAAACACAAAAAAATTAGCCAGGGGTTGTGGTGCACACCTGTAGTCTCAGCTGCTTGGGAGGCTGAGGTGAGAGGACGACCTGAGCCTGGGAGGGTTGAGGCTGCAGTGACCCATGATTCTGCCACTGCACTTCACTCTAGGTGACAGAGCAAGACTCTGTCTCAAAAACAAAACAAAACAAAACTCTGATGGGTGTGTGGACACGGGTGTTGGTGTTGTATTTAAGCTTTCCATGTAATTCACAGGTATAGCCAGGATAGGGAGCTGCTGCCTTAAATCTTATATTTCAGTCTCTATTTAATGACTACCACTTCCAGGAAGTCTGCCCTGACCATCTGAGGCTGGACTAGGTGCTCCCCAGGTCCCCGGCCCCTGCACTTCTCTTCAGAGCATATACCATGTGGGCCAAGGTCCCACCCAGGCTCAGGGCCCGGCACTCAGCCTCTCTCAGGACCATTTGGTCCGTCAGTGGAGACATTCCTTGCCTGATTCCCCTTCCTGCCTGGCACCTCCTGAGCTCCTCAGCATCCTGGTCCTCGCCTCGGCCTTCACATCCTTGCACGTCTGACCTTGTGCCCTTACCCCCTCACACCCTGTTCCGTGCACACTGAGCCACATTCATCCCATGGATACACAGGGCTTTCTCTCTACTCCAGGCTTTTATCTTTGCTGTTCTGCCTGCCAAAAACACTGTTCCCTTTCCTCCTCAGAGATTTTTTCAAGTGTCTCAAACTTTAAGGTGGGCCAGGAGCAGTGGCTCACACTGGAATCCCAGCACTTGGGAGGCTGAGGGAGAAGGATCACTTGAGGTCAGGAGTTTGAGACAAGCCTGGCCAACATGGCAAAACTCCATCACTACAAAAAATACAAAAAGTTGGCCAGGCATGGTGGCACGTGCCTGTAATCACAGCTACACAGGAGGCTGAGGCACGAGACTCACTTAAGCCTGGAAGGTCAAGGCTGCAGTGAGCAGTGATGGCACCCGTGCATTCCAGCCTTGGTGACAGAGCAAGACTCTGTCTCACAAAAACAAACAAAAATAAAAGTTTAATGTGCACATGATTCACCTCAGAGCTTGTCAAAAGCTGCTTCTGGGTGAGGCTGGACATTCCATAGTCCTCCTGAGCTACCAGGTGAACAGAAGCTTCTGGGCTTACCAGTGAGGATGGAGCCATCTCCTCCTCCTGAGCCCACATCTGAGCTCTGGAGCCCCAGTATATCGCCCAGTGTGCTTTGGCAGTCTCCCCACTAGCCTCACACTCTGGGGGCACAGGATCCTGGCTGCGGTGGTCACCACTCACCCCCACCTTTACCATGGGGTGGTCACATATGTTTGCCAGCTGGATGCTAAAATTCAGCCATGGCCTCCCCAACTCAATCCCAACAGGGCACTGGACACAGGACACTCCTGGAGATGCGACGGGCAGGGGAAGGGCCTGGCTTTGCCCAGCACAGGCCGGTGGGCTCACCTTGGCGATCTGGTCAAATTTGCCAAAGAGCTCGTTCAGTACCACCACCAGTTCCTTGGGGGAGCAGTCGCTGGCCAGCCGCGTGAAGCCCACGATGTCCGCATAGAGGATGCTGGGGAAGGGGCAGGGTGGGAGTGTCAGAGCCAGGCACCTGGATGGGGCAGCAGGAGCACGGGGTACTGTCTGGAGCCCAGGAGCCTGCCAGGCCTGAGCCCAATCACTGCCCTTCCTCAGCCTCCATAGGAATGGGAGAGTCGCACCCAGCCACAAAGATTACATTTCCAGGGGCTTCATATTAAAGCAAAAGGGAGCAAAGCCCAGAACCTGCAGGAGCCCTCGGGCCTGCCCCAGCCCCATCCCTGCAGAAAGCTGAAGGTCACTTCAACTGTCACGTCAGCTGTCACGGAGCGTTCCTCTTGCCCATCCAATGTTCGCCATAGCGCAGTCTTCAGAACTCCCTAAAGAGAGATGGCTCTGTGCTCCCTCAACACAACCTCCACGCCAAGTGCTTTACAGGCATCCAGTGCTCACACAGCCCTTGCAGAACTGCCATTCTGCAGACGTGCAAACTGAAGCTCTGGGACACTGAGACTTGCTGAGAAGCCAGGAGCTGGAATCTGTACCAGATGTCCCTGTTACAAAGTCCTGAGCTCATGGACCATGCACAGTCCAGAGAAAAGGCAGTGGGCCAGCCTTGGATATAATGCTGACACTACAGGCAGAGGACCCAGGGCGTCTCCCAGGACCCACATCTACACTCAACAGCACCCAGTACCCACATCTACACTTGACAAACTCAGGTCAGTACATTCAAGTAAAACTCTGTGGTTCCCTGTGAATCAGCCAAGGACAGGTGTCAGAACTGGGGCACTCTTGGGCACCAAGGCAGGGGGCTTTACCTTTTTCTAGGGGTCCTGTGCCCCTTGAGAACCATCTGAAAGGACCCTTTCCTTCAAAAAGCTATGTTTGCTCACACAGTTTGGCAGTTTCAGGGGCTGCTACATCTTCCCCAACACCAATGAGTCCTAAGAGCCCTGATCTGATCCTGCCCCTGCGGAAACAGGTGGGGATTCTGAGGCCCAGGAAGGGCCCTGGATTGACCTGGGACCACGGGGCCCTCTCCCAATTCCTAAGCAGGCAGGGGTGTGAGCCTCCTGATAGGGCGGGAGGCTGCCTGGAGCAGGGATGGAGGCTGCCTGAGCAGGGGTCTGAGCCTCCAGATAGGGTGGTGGGCTCAGCCCCCAGGAGATACTGTCCACACGGCTCGCCGCCCACCTGACATTCTGGTGCCGCTTGACGTAGAGGCTGTGGAAGTTGTTGTCGGGCACACAGCGGCGGTCGCCATGCTCCTTGAGCCGCTCAATGATGGCCAGCTTCATGCCCATAGAGATGTGGGCCGGGAGCACCGACAGCAGCAGGTTCTCCTGGGGGCAGGCAGGCAGACCGGAGGGCGGACCGGTGGGGGACAGGCAGGGTGGCATCAGGGCCCAGAACTGGCCTACCTGGCCCCTGTCCTCCCTGCCCACCTGCCTGCTCTGCCCATGATGCCCCCATCTCTGCTCCCATCTTCTGTCAACCCAGCTGGGCATCCACCTCCCATGTCCCCAGCAGCCCCCAGGACTCAGGCTGAGTGAGAAAGGGCCCTTTCAGCTGGGGAGGCTACACGATGGGTGGGCAGCCTGGAGCCATTATGGCCTTCTCTGCCACCACCTGGGGACGGCCTGCCCAGGACTGACACCACACAGAGGAATGCAGAGTCAAGAGTTACAGGCTCTGGTTACCCGGCTGGAGCCCAGGACTCACTGAGGTGAGAACTGCATGGGTGTCTGGTCACGCACCTCTTGCACATGGCACCATGGGCGTCTCATGTCCAACAGAAAAAGGAAGAGGACAGGGGTGTGCAGGGTGAGGAGTGGGGGCTGCGTCCCACCTGCTGGCGCTTCTCAATGCGCAGCTTCCGGCGGATCTGGATGCACTTCACAGTGTAGGTGAAGAGGTCCCGGGATGCATCCTGCATCTGGTTCTTGTGGAAGGCACCAGTCAGGTTCCCGCACAGGAAGATGACCGCGTTGGCCAGCAGCTATGGGTGGGCCAGGGTGGGGTCAGATGTGGCCTGGCCCATGCCCTCCCAGGACACCAGGTGGACTTGTGATGGCACTGTTCCCTTCCCATTTCCTGACCCCCCAACCCACTGAGGATGGCAGTCTTCCCAGGGCAGACAGGGAAACTGAGGCCCAGGCAGGAGTTAGTCTCCTAGTGAGTCACTAGGACCGAAAGATCAGGATGCCCAAGGAAGCAGAAGAGACCACCTCACAGAGCCCAGGGCCAGAGGGGCATGCGTGCTAAGGGTAGTCCCAGAGGGCACAGCGCCCAGCGGGCTGTGCAGAGGTTCAGCCTCTGCCCAGAAAGGACCCCAGGCATGGTCAGGAGGAAAACATATCTCTAAACCCCAATAATTATGAACAAAAGGTTTACTCATTCAACACAAAGACAAAACGCAGTGTCCTGGGAAACTCCCCAAGCTCTGTCAGGACAGGGACTGAGAGAAACCTCAGGAATGGGACTCACCCCATGACAGTGCCCCTGAACTAGAGGGGAGGGCCCGAGGTCAGGACCCTGAGGGCTGAGCCACACGGGAGCCCTAGGCCAGCAAAACAAGGCTGGAGGTCAGGGCCACCCCTGGGGGCCCAGCTTCGGAGCAGACTCGGAGAGGGCCTGGCCTGGAAGCGGGCTGTCTGCAAACACGGCTCTAGGTCCAACTCACCCAGAGGGGGCCCCCCTCTGCCCTTAGACCCAGACCACAACCCCCTCCCCAGAGGCCTTGGCCCATCCCTCACCTGTAGCCCTACCCGGACGCTGGGCGTTGTGAAGCCTCCCATCAGAGCGCAGAGTACCAGGAGGTGGGAGGCGGTGGAGATGACCCCTACAGCCACAGCCCCCCGCATGCTGAAGGGCAGCAGCGTGTACACCACGAAGACAACGAACAGGAAGAAGGGCACCTGTGGACGCAGCCTCGTGAGCCCAGTGCCCTGACATACTGCCCCAGCCCTGCATCCCCCAGAAGCCTGCACCGCACCAGCACACCCAGTGAATGCCCTCAGGGCAGCCCCTCACCCTGCCATGTGGGCAGACATACAAGGGAACAAGAAAAGCCAGAATGTGTTTCTGGGGTGGGTCCGGCCACATGGTTCATGGTTTCCTATGCAGATCCACTGTCTGTGGCCACCCCAGGTGGAGGCTCCATGGTCCACATGATCAGGGAGCCCCCTCCTGGTGCCCTTCCCACATGGCTCTCTCTGGGCAGGAATGGTGATTACCAGGAGGCTGGGGCTCCTTCTCACCAGCTGCCTCCAGTAGTGCGGCCCCAGCTGCCCTCTCACCACCCCCACCGACCAGCCCTGCGTCTACCCCTCTGGGAGTGGTGCCCCCTCCCTCCTTCCCTCCCCTTCAGTCCCCATGGGTTTCCTTGGACCTCATCCCAGCCTGCCCCAGCCACAGGAGCTGTCACAGGACCCAGGCCCACTGGTCAGAGTGTGCCACCACTTGGTGACAGTGACTGTCCAGGACTGGGCTGGTGACCCCAGCCAGCCCAGTGCAGCTCAAGCCTGCAGGTCGAGCTTGTTGAGAAAGGGCCCTGCAAGTGCTGTAGCCCGACATCCAAGGGAATGTTCCCTCCTCTCAGTCCTGTCAGTGCAGAGAACTCACAGGGACAAAACCAGCCCAGGCCCATCCTAGACACACAGCCAAGCATGTGGGGCAGGAAGGGCCCATGGCAGTGCACCCACCACGGGGGTGGGAGCTGCTGAGTATGCAGCCGTCAGGAAGTCCAGGGTCCCCCCGTTACCTGCTCCCACGAACAGGCCGCCTTCGTCCACGCGTCAAACACCAGCACGTAGCCCAGGGTCATCAGGCAGGCCCAGGCAAGCAGCGCCAAGGCCCTGAGCCAGCGCCTCAGGAGACACTCGACATACACCAGCACAGAGAGGGCCAAAAACACTGCCAGCACCAGGAACGCCGTGCCCAGAATGGCCTGGTGTCTGGAGGGGTCCTGGGCAGAGCAAACAGACAGAAATGCCTCAGCTTTCCCCTGGGCAGTGCCACCTCCTCCAGAAAGCCTGCCAGGCTGGCTGCCTCACTTACAGCTTCATCCACACGGAAGGTGTGGCTGCACCCTCCCACACCGGGCTCCCGCTCACCTTCAGTCCTTTCTTTGTCACCTTTGCCAAGGCTACCTCAACCACCCACTTCCTGTCTCCTTGGGAGCCCGAGCATCGCCACAGCCCCACCCGTGATGCCATCACTTTCCATCCGCCTCTGCCTCCTCTCCGGGTTCCCACGGTGCTCTGTGCACAGCCACAGGTGACATCATGAGCACAGGGTGGGACTCGCTCACAGGCACAGTCTCAGAAAATCATCCAAATGGGACACGGGCCTGGCCCTCAGCAAGTGAGCAGAGGCTGCTGAGGGATTCCAGGAAAAGGCATCCCACAGGGGAGAAGCCGGGGCAGCGGCACAGAGTGGAACAGGACGGGCACAGCGTCCTGGACGTCCGTGGGGGCAGAGGCCTGACTGTGGGGCTGGCACACAGTAGCAACTGTCCTGTGGTTGGTAGCCATGTGGGTCCAGGCAGCACTGGCAGAGCAGCCACTGTCCTGGCCACTTAACACACATAAACATCCTGGAGTTTCTGAGTATTCTTCCAGATCTCTGCTAATCAAATTTACATCAATTATAAAGAAAATGGGCTGGGCATGGTGGCTCATGCCTATAAGCCCAGCACTTTGGGAGGCTGAGGCAGGTGGATCACCTGAGATCAGGAATTTGAGACCAGCCTGGCCAACATAGAGAAACCTAATTGTTACTAAAAATGCAAAAATTAGCCAGGTGTGGTGGAAGGTGCCTGTAATCCCAGCTACTCTGGAGGCTAAAGCAGGAGAATCACTTGAACCCAGGGGAAAAGGCTGCAGTGAGCCAAGATCACGCCATTTCTCTCCTGTCTGGGCAACAAGCGTGAACCTCCGTCAAAAAAAATGCAGTTCCTCAGTCTATTCCCACTTTTTAAATGCTCAGTAGCTGAACACCGTTAGTGGCTATACCAAGGCAAGTGCCTGGGCCAGAGACAACATGAGTGGTGTCAGCCTGGAGAGCTGTGTTAGGATTCTGAGGAGGCCCAGCACAGTGGCAGATGCCTGTAATCCCAGCACTTTGGGAGGCTGAGGCAGGCAGATCACCTGAGATTGGGAGTTCAAAACCAGCCTGACCAACATGGTGAAACCCCGTCTCTACTAAAAATACAAAAAATTAGCCTGGTGTGGTGGTGCATGCCTATAATCCCAGCTACTCGGGAGGCTGAGTCAGGAGAACTGCTTGAACCCAGAGGTGGAGGTTGCAGTGAGCTGAGATCACACCATTGTACTCCAGCCTGGGCAACAAGAGCAAAACCCTGAGGCCGGGTGCAGTGGCTTGTGCCTGTAATCTCAATGCTTTGGGAGGCCAAGGCAGGAGGATCACTTGAGGCCAGGAGTTCAAGACCAGCCTGGGCAGCATAGTGAGACCATGTATCTACAAAAAATATATAATAAAAAGAGGATTCTGAGAATGTAGCCAGGCTCAGTATGGAGTGTAGGGATTGATTAATGATGTCTGCATGGGTATGGGAAGTGAGGGTAGTGATACACAGGCCATCCCTAACCCCAGGTCTTCAGTAGAATCAAATTTCATCATGGAGAAAAATTAGAATAATGTATTAAGACAATTTAATGTAATATCTAAAACCACTTCAGACTTCAAAATTGTATTAAACTTAGAGAGGCTGGGCATGGTCCTGCCTGCTTGTAATCCCAGCTACTCAGGAAGATGAGCCAGGAGGATTACTTGCACCCAGGAGTTCAAAACCAACCTGGGCAACATAGCAAGATCCAGTCTCAAAAAAAAAAAAATTAATTCGAAACCTGTCTTCTACCAGTCTAAATATGGTGTAAAAGACATAGCATTGTCCAGACACAGTGGCTCACACCTGTAATCCCAACACTTTGAGAAGCCAAGGCAAGTGGATTACCTGAGGTCAGGAGTTTGAGACCAGCTTGGCCAACATGGTAAAACCCCGTCTCTACTAAAATACAAAATTAGCCAGGCATGGTGGCACATGCCTGTAATCCCAGCTACTCAGGAGGCTGAGGCAGGAGAATTGCTTGAGCCCAGGAGATGGAGGTTGCAATGAGCCGAGATCGTGCCACTGCATTCCAGCCTGAGAGACAGAGTGAGACTGTGAGACTCTGTCTCAAAAAAAAAAAAAAAATAGCATTTTACAAAAGAGGAAACTGAGGCTAAGAGAAGATAACAGCTTGCCCAAGGTCAGGGCTGAGACATGAAGCCCAGGGGCTGCCTTTACTCACCCCGTGGCTGAAGGCGATGATAATGAGCGCCAGGCAGGCGATGACAGCCACCAGCAGGAGCGTGAGCAGCAGCGGCCCGTGCTGGCTGGTGAGACGGTACTTCTCGTAGAGCGCATCTTGGTCAGGGCCCTCCTCACCCTCGTTGAGGAAGTATCGGCCCTTGGCCGGCATTCTCCGCTGTCAGCAAATGTGTCCACTGGCTGTTAAGGAGGCCCCAGGGTCTGGAGGGCATCTGTCTGCCAACAGCCTCCCCCGTGGGCCTAGGCCTCTGGCCTCTCCGAGGCAGGCAAGCGGGGCTGGGGAGAGGGCCCCTGGGCCTGCTGCTCCATGGCCAATGAGAGGTCTGCACAGCTCTGGCGCCAGGCCTCGCTCACTGTGCCGCTGGCATCCTCCTGTGCGACTCCACACGCGGTTACTCCACGGAGACCAGAACTTGACCTAATGGGCAGAGTCAGGGGAGGGCTGGCATCAGGGAAAGCGGGGCCCAGGCCTCACAGCTCCACATCTGATTTATCCATCTTAACCCTACCCTAACTTTTATGCCCTGTTGTCATAAAGCTAGTTCCTTCTGTCTTCTAGAACTGCACTGTCCAAGATAGTAGCCACTAGCCACATGTGGCTGTTCTGTTTTTTAAGGTAGGGTCTCACTCTGTTGCCCAGGCTGGAGTGCAGTGGCATGATCATAGCTCACTGCAGCCTCAAACTCCTAGCCTCAAGGGATTCTCCCACCTCAGCCTCTTGAGTAGCTGGGAATACAGGTGTGCACCACCACACCCCAAGCTAATTTAAAAATTTTGTTTTGTAGTGGTAGAGTCTCCCCCTGCTGCCCAGGCTGGTTTTGAACTCCTGGGCTCAAGTAATCCTTCTGCCTCAGCCTCCCAAAGTGCTGGGATTACAGGCAAGAGCCACCATGCCCGGCCACTATTTTAAAGTAAATTCAAACTAATTTAAAATAAATTAGAAACTCAGTCCCTTGGTCACACTAGCCACATTTCAAATACCAGGTGGCTCATGCCTCTAATCCCAGCACTTTGGGAGGCTGAGAAAGGCAGATTACCTGAGATCAGGAGTTCAAGACCAGCCTGACCAACATGGTGAAATCCTGTCTGCACTAAAAATATAAAAATTAGCTGGACATGGTGGCATGTGCCTGTAATCCAAGCTACTCGGGAGGCTGAGGCAGGAGTATGGCTCAAACTTGGGAGGCAGAGGTTGCAGTGAGCTGAGATTGTGCCATTGCACTCAGCCTGGGCAACAGAGCAAGACTCTGTCTCAAAAAAAAAAAAAAAAAGAAAGAAATACTCAACAGCCACATGTGACTGGTGGCTGCTGTACTGGCCAGCACAGATACACAGAGCATGTGTGTTATCACAGAAACTTCTACAGGCCAGCTCTGCTCGGCACATTTCACTGTTTTGCTTTCACACAAAGGTCTCTGATCCATCTCAATTTACTCTGGGTATGGTGTGAGGTAGAGATCAAGGTTCATTTCTTTTTTTCCACATGGATATTGAACTATCCCAGCAGCGTTCAGTGAACTGGCCATCCTTTCCTCACCGAATTTCAGTGGATCAGGAGACCACACAGCTGAGATGTTTCCAGGCTCTGCTCTGTCCCCATGGCCCTGGTACAGACACCACATTCACTTCATTTCCTAGTGAGTCTCACATCTCCAGGCCCAGAGGGTTCCAAGCTGTGATCCTGGGAGCTCTGGGATTTGGGGACATGCCTCAGGGCCCCAATGAGAAGGGAAGGCCGAGGGGCACAGGCTCAGGCCCCCATGCCCCTTTTCAGCCAGAGCAGCCCCTGCATGTGTTACAGTAAGCTCCACATAAAACTGCATTTTTTCTTTTCTTTTTTTTTTTTTAATGTGGTTTCACTCTGTCACCCAGGCTGGAGTGAAGTGGTGCGATCACGGCCTGCTGCAGCCTCAGCCTTCCCGGGCTCAGGCAACCCTCCCACCTCAGCCTCCTGTGTAGCTTTGCAGCAATAACAGGAGGCTGAGGTAGGAGGATTGCTTGAGCCCAGGGAGGCTGAGGCTGCAGTGGGCCATGTATTTTTTTGTAGAGATGGGGTTTCACCATGTTGCCCAGGCTGGTCTTAAACTCCTAGGCTCAAGCAATCTACCCTCCTCGGCCTCCCAGAGTGTTAAGATTACAGGCATGAGCCACTATATCTGGCAAAGATCTTGTTTTCTTAAAAGAGTCCACTGATGCAAATTTCAGATATCTGCTAGCCTTGCTTCACAGAAAAGGAAGCTGAGTCTCAGAGAGGGACATAGAGGCCCCTTTGTGACAAAACTGTGAGCTGACCCCAGGCTTGCCATGCTCGGCCCATGTGGGCTCCTTTCCCCAGCACCATTTATTCATTAGCACATTCATCTATTCCAAAAAAGGCTTGAGTCACACCTACGCCTGCCAGCCCTTACACCTCCTGTGTGCTAGGCTGGGCTCTCTCTCCCTAGGGATCCCCATCAGTCTCCAAAGGAAGGAAAATTACCAAAAATGTGCAATCCCTCACACAACAATGAGGACTTGGGGACAGCTGCCATATTCCCAGCAGGAACCTGTGTAAAGGGGGCGACCCTGGACCAAGAGTCCAGGCCCCCAGTGTCCTCCAGGCCTGCCTCGGATTCGAATCAGGACATGGCCAGAGGCAGAGGACAGAGGGCAGAGAGGCTGTGAGACACAGGATGGCTCAGGGCAGTCACAGGGCACAAATGGCCAGCCACCAGTGGAAGCTTCAAAGGACAGCTGGTCCAGCACAGGGAAGGTGGCCAGGCAAGCCCCCAGCCCCTAAAGATGAAAAAGCAGAATATCCAAGGTCCCCAAGTCTAAGGGAAGCCCCCAAAACCAGCACCCACTGCTATTAGGTCCCTGGGGTCACCTCAATTCCAGAAGCCACCTCAGGCTCTATTTCCCCTGGAAGTTCCTATTCCATCACCACACACCAGGAACAAAATGGAAAAATCACATATTTGGGGGAGGAGGATGGGGCCATTTGTTTTGGGGCCATGGCTCCTTTGCTGCCTGGGCAGGTGTCTACAGGCCTTGGCACCTGTTCAACACTTCGGGGGTCTAGCCCAGAGCTGTCAAAGTGTTCAAACTACAAATCTGATCTCTACAAGAAATAATGATTAATGTTGGCAGCTGATTTCAACTTTCTGAGTGATTGCAGCTCACTAGTTTATAACCTCTAAATCTAAACTAATCAGTCTATATTCCACAAAGGCATGTGTTGTGTGCTAACCATATACATCCAAACCTGTGCTGTGGGGTTTGCCAAACAAGATAAGGTCCCTGCCTGAGACGCATCCAATTCAGCCTCCCGTCACCCCAAAATAGCCCTTTGCAGTAATAACAGCAGCAGCTCCTGTCACCCCAGCACCTGCACACACATTCGCTGTCATCTTCACAACCAACCAGTAAAGGTCAAGGTGGCACCACCATTTCACAGATGCAGAACTGAGCCCAGAGTGGCAGAGTGATTGCCTAAGATCACACAGCCGGAGCTGGTGGGTAGATGGGCTAGGATTCAAACCTGGGTCTGCCAGCTCCCAAACCAGGGCTCCACAGCCCAGGCTCCCCGCCTGACATCCTGGGAGACTCAGCCAGATGCCACAGCATACGAACAACAACCTCACCTGCCCCTGTCCTGAGGCCAAACACCAGGCTGAGAAGCTCCAAACACCAGACGGGCTAAGGCCACTCCCTACAGCTGCTCTGTCCCCTGGGCAAAGACCCCAGACCAGAGCTGAGGTGGCCAGACACATGCATGCAAGTGCCAAGTGTGAGAGTGTGTGGATACACCCACTCCAGGCACACAAAGCCAGGCTGGGCCACCACAAGGAGAGGGAGGAACCAGTTGAGAGGGTCCTAAGGGCCCATGGGAACCCAGGCCTGGCAGACATGCCTCTCAAGCATCTCACTAGGTTACTTCCCGGGCAATGGCAGGCAGGGGCAGGTAGACAGTGGACAGCACGGGCACAATGACTTTGGCCCATCCAGGGACCTTGGCCCACTCCTAGAACAAGCTGGGTAGCATCAGGCCTGGGGAGAATGACCTCACTGATCACATCTCCAGACGGGCCCCAGGAACCCACCACCAGTGGCATGTCCCCAGGCCAGCTCCTCCCTAGGAGCCACCGCCCCAAAGCCAGACCCAGAGGCACCCCCTGCCTGGGAAGTTTTCAAGGCCCCCTGTCCAATCACCAGTTCTTCCACCAGCCCTTCACTCAGTTGGCAACGGGGAGGGCCTCCCACAAGGCCTTGGATGAAGGAACCCTTCTGCCTTGTCTGAGATGCATCCAATCCGATTCTGTCGTATCTGAGATGCATCCAATCCAGGGACCCCTGGATTGAATGACTCTGCCGTTGACTCACACACCTGCTTGCTAACAAATGACCCTGCTGTTAGCTTGCACACCTCTGTGATGGGCAGCTCACCACCTGTCAGGGCAGTCTCCTCCATCATTGGGTACCTTTTCTGGCCCTGAGTCCTCCCTTAGTTCAAGCCAAGCCCTGCCTCTCTGTTACTCCCTAACCCACACCCCGCGGGTCCTGTCTGAACTCCAAAGCCACCAAGAGCAGAGCTATGCCCTTGGACAGGTCAAGTCCCCACTTCCTGAGGAGGCTGCAGTCCCAGGGGCCCCTCACTTGTTCTCACCTCACCACCACCCCAGTGGTAGAGCAGGGTGAGCAGCCACATTTTAAAGAGGAAAGGACTCTACCATGGGGGAGGGGTCCAGATGCCGGGAGGGTGTTTCATGCTTCTGCTGCACAATGTCCCCTCTCCTGATCCTCAGTACCCTGGCTCAGGGGCCACATGACCCTGGTGTGGTCAATCAGCAAAGTCCCTCCCAAGCCCCAGTGCCACAGGCCTGGGCAGTGAGGGCTCTTTTCGGACTTCTGCTGACCCAGGGAAGGAGATGTTCTCTTTTGTCGGTGGCCTGGCACTGCCAGCAGACACCTGAGCCACCACAAAGAGAGAGTCTGCCTGAAAATGACACCAACATGGAGAACTGGCACGAGACACAGGCCTGGCAACACCCACTAGAGCCACTGGAGCCAACTGTGCCTGAAGCTTACACAACCTCCAGACATGTAACCACACGGGACAAGCAATGCCCCTTTCAGCTTCACCCAGTTTGAGCTTCTGTCACTAGCAACCAAGAGTCCCAAAGTCCACGTGGGGCTTCTGGGCCCAGGTTGTTGTGTCTGGGAAACAGCCATGGCCCCTCAACGGGTTCCGAGTCAAGTGGGAGGGTCCCAGTCAGCACAGAGGTGACATGTGCCCCTGCAGACACAGCCAGTCCTCCAGAAAGGAGCTGGGCCCAGGAGGGGACAGCCCCGCTCATCCCTCCATCACACGTTCCAGGCTCCGCAGCCCAGGCCCAGCCAGGCATCCAGGGCTGCCAGAAGCTAGAGGACAGGCAGGAG